CACGCAGCTTCATGCGAGCAGAGTCCGAGGCGGATATGTGCTCGAATCTAGTTCGCAGGGCGGCGCCCCACTCCCTCCATGTGCGTATCGTAGCCGTCCCGAAAATTGAAGCTGCTCGTTGCGTGACAAGTGTCGAAGTCCCGTCGTTCGCACGTGCTAATCTTGCTGAAGTCCCTTCGTCTTGCAACGCGTCGCCACCTCTCCAGCGCAGGTCCTCTCAACAGTGAAACTGCGAAGTTAATGCGGGTGACATCATCATTAATCATAGCAGCATTAAAAAACACATCCACTGTGAACAACCATGCAGAAACAGTGACGATCTTGTCACTTGGGTTAAACGGGGACAGGTTTGTCGGCTTGATTTTGACAGTTGCTGAAGCCATTAATGCCGCGTAAACTGTTGGCGCCGCTGCTGTCGTCGCCGGAGCTATCGCTGCTGCACGTGTCGGCGCTGCATGTGACTATTGCGGTGACTATTGCGGTGACTATTGCGGTGACTGTGCCTGCCTCGCATCATCCGCATCCATGGAGCCTTCTAACTCGCTCCAGACCCGCTCGTCTGGCGTGGAGCTGCTACTTGCGTCCTCAAAGATAGGCGACTCCTTGCGCGCTTCACCACGTCCCTTGTGTAGTTCGGCGTTTTCATTCCGCAGGCGCTCCATCTCTGCAGTCATGCCCTACAAGTTGGCCTGCATCGCACGGAACTTTTGCACGAACTTGTTAAACTCGGCCTGATCCATGGGCCTCAGGCTTCGTTGAACGGGCAGGGGTTGACTAGAGATTTTTCTGACTTTGGTGAAAGCGTCAACGCTATCGTAGTCGGAGTGAAATAATTGTATCTATTTCACAGGCCGACCGCTTTACAGCCCACCAAGTCTATCACTCCCCTTATACAAACTACCCTGGAAACACGAGGGTAACCTAGGAAAGTAGGCTCTAATACCAAGTGTTATGAGTTGTGAAAGGAAGAGTGCGCATAATTGAATAACGCGGAAGTGATTACAACGTCTGAGGGAACAACGAGGCCTAGAACTAATATAGCAATGCTAGCTAGGCCGTGGTCGCGGGGTCCAGGGTGGTTGGGTGCAGGTTCGGGGTTGGGAAACCTGAAGGCGACGCGGTGATGGTTCGGAGAGGTCGGCGGACTGAGCCTGGTTTTCCGAAAACTGGGGTTGTACGCGTACAGTGTGACCCAGTAAGGAATCCGAGAAAATTCCTTACCCAGGTTGACGCGAGCTAAAATTGCAACGGCAAGCACGTTCAAGTACTAGGATTGAGATCGGCGCGATGCGCAATTTTGGCTACGGGTTTTGCAATTGTTCCGTTCAAACATCGAAATCAAAACACGCTGTGCTGGTCTTATCCGAACCCACGTCACTATCGAGGCTTGGGGGCACCGTGCTGTGACAGGAGCAACTTGGGCGTGAGGAAGGCGTGTAGAGTGCGAGCATATTTGCCTATCCTAGAAATCCAAACCACCTGACGGGGGAAGGGCGGGCCAAAGGCGGAAGCAGCACTCGGATCCTCTGCTTCGCTGTTTGGTGATGATGAGTGGGAGGAGATCCACAAGGAACACATGGCGCAGAAGAAGGCGGAAGAGGAGAAACAACGAACCGCTGCGGCGAAGAAGGCGGAACGGGAAAAGGCGACGGGCGAAGCGTCGAAACGCAAGGAGCAGAAATGAGGGGGCATGTACCTTAAGGGTGGGGCGGTTTAGTTATTTGGGTACTTTATTCCGGTTGTACCGAATATGCACTACAGGCACTTGTCTGTCTATGTAGAAGCCCGATTTGGGGCTTGTATGCCACCTTATTCCCTGGGCGCGCTGTTTTTCGTAGAATGTTTTTCTGGTGTATGCAATGAAGCACACATCGATGGTATACACCGGGCGAAATTCTGCGGAGTCATGTCGTATCGTATACGATTTTATTCTACAGAGCGGCGTCGATGAATTCACTCTCACGATTGTAGATGTGTGTTCTTAGGTCACTCGGTAGACTTTTGCGTGGATTTATTCAGTCTCAGCATATGTTTCTGGGCAAAGCAGTGTCATATTTTACTAGTAGCAACGAAGATCCTATCCATGACGGTAGATATTATCAACACGTCGGTTTTTCTGCGGTATAGTGGCGTTTCCAATTTGCCTCCAGAATTCGGCGTCGAGGAATTCAATCTCCATAGCAGAAAGGTCTGTGCATATGAATACCGTATACGTTCTTAACAAGGTGCTCCCTTAGACAAGATGTTATGCGATTGTTTAGCCCCATACTTCTACCTCTTCGTAGAAGCCGAGTATTAAACGTAGATTAAGTGTCGTAGAAGGCCGTCCTGTCGTCAATTTTTTTATTCGCCTGGCCCTCCCTTTGATGGCGAGTTCTATCGGCTGCATTGCTAGCTCCATACGCGCCCTACAAATTTTGCTAGTGTAGTGAAGGTTTGCATAGCAAAAATACATCTCTCATTGTATTGTATACAACAACACCTATATTTATACACGGTTAAATAAAAAAAACGAAAAGGAAAATCTATTTCTACTGCGGTACTAACAAGACCTCCAAAGAACCCGTCTGCCTCTATCAATCCTGGCCGCCAGTGCCGGTGTTCTCATCCGTCGACGCATCCTTCGTCGCGTTCCCCTTCGCGGACGATTTCTTGGTTTTCTTCTCCTTATCCGCCCCTGTTGTGGTATCCCGGCCGCCCAACTTCTTCTGCAGGACTCCGAGCCAGACGCCCTGGTGCTGGCGAAGGCCTCTTGATGCCATGCTGCATAGGCACCAAGAGGTCACGACCTTTGCCACCACCCTCGTCATCCGCTTCGCATCCTCGGCCGCTCGCGACTCTGCCGGAAGCGCTTTCAGCAGCGCATCCGACAGGGGCAGAATCCACGCTTCCTTGTCATGCTCCTGATCCTTTACCGACCTCATCGCCTCAACCGCAACGCAAGCAACCGAGGCTGCAAGCGTCGCAAGGGCATTGTGGACGGCAGAGGGCACATCGGCCGCAGAAGATGACGAGGCATCCGACGAGGCGGTGGCAGCAGTGGACGATCTGGCAGCAGAAGATGCTATGGCCGTAGAAGTTCCACGTGCAGCTGTTGTTGCGCCCGTCTCCCACTGGGTCTGGTCCACATTCGTGGATGCGGCCCACATTACAGACAACGTGGCGGCAAGTCCGATTGCGTGTTCTTCCGTCGAATAGCCGTTTTCACCCTCCACGCCTCCCACCATCTTCTGCCACGCAGTTATTCCGACACCAGCGCAGGCAGCTACCTGAAAGCCATCCCCCTGCTGCTGCCGAAGAGCCGTGTTGGTTTGAACGAGTGAGAATCTGCACAAGACACCAGTGTCGCAAGATCAGAACCATCGAACTTCGCGGGTGTTTAGAAGTTGCAACTGTACATCACATAAACACTCACCCGTCCGGTTTGTCCAGGTGGAGTTCGTTGATGACGCTCCACACCCCTGTTGGAAGCCACGTTGTGAAGTCGAGGTCTTCCCGCCACTTGTTTATACGGTTTGGATTCATGCCGTATGCCTGCATGTCAATATCCGGGAAGTAGAACTTCCAGCAGACTGCGACCGTGTATGCCCTCTCCCACACCGTTTTGTGAGAGCCTACTAGACGCTGATTGGCTCTTGCAGCCTTGGGACTCTGACAACAACTGTTGCCATGGCCACGTGTGCAGAACACCTACAGTTGGTAAACAATGACTATAAAACACAATGAGCAAACGTAGGATGCTACACTTGAACTCATGTTATTTATAAAACACATAACATCAATGGTATAAAGGAACACACGTGCTGCAGCTTTAAGGTGGCAGCAAAAAAAAAACCGAGTTAAAGCATATAACGACGCAAGGAAGACCAGTTGGTCGCAACCGGCCATGCGACCGGCGGTCGTCACTTGTCGGCCAAAGAGTTACGATGGCGAAACATGTCATTCGCGACAAACATCACTGGCACAAAGGGTCAGGGCAGGTTGGTTGGAACACATTTTTCACGGTCAGGTGGGCGCGGAATTGTGGGCGGCTGGCCGTGTCGTATGCGGCGGAGCCTTGCGCCCAAGCCCTTCGGAATCCGGAACACACGGATCCAAGGCCTCGGATCATGGGGCAAACGCACTCGGAACTCCGCCACAACGTGGTAAGAGTCCCCACAGACTCATGCTGCTGTGGCCTGACATGGCGCACATCGTTTTATCTCGGCTTACCCTCGTCGCATGCTGGAATGCACGCGGCGCACCCGCGGGAGAGCTGGCGCCGGCGTGCACAGCTGATTGTAACCAGCCTTCTTGCACAGATTGTCCTCCTGCCATGCGCCTTCTTCTCCTCCCTCTTGGCGGACTGCTGCTCGCCTTTCGTCGCGAAGAGCCTCGTCTGTTTCTGTCGCGCACACGACATTCAAAATCGTTGGAAGGCAAGAGTTTTCAACTTGCACGGCACAAACAGCGAAAGCCAGCGATTAGGCGGCATTGTTGGTCACTGTCCCAAAGACCGAGGCCAGCGCTTGTTAGAAGTACGAAGCAGTCCTCCTCAACCCCTCTTTGCCGACCCCTATTTCTCGCACCGCCGCTCTCACCAGCGCTCACACCGCCGCTCTCACCGCCGTTCTCACCGCCGCCCTCACCGGCGCCATGGAGCACAGCAGCGGCGGCAGCACGGGTACTACTGGCCTTGAGGCGTGCGGCCTCGACCGTTGCGTGTTTCTGGCAGTGCACGGCAGGGAGGACGGCAGTCAGAGTAGCATTCAGGGCCGTGCCACACGTGTAGGGGAGCGATGGCGTGGCGCCGAATTGCAAGGGGCGGAGGAGGAGGCGGCGGGTGACGTAGAGGAGGAGGTGGGGCAGGGGCGTAGGAACACAGTGGAGGTGGTAGCTGCCCTGTCGCTCCTGTCCTCCTTGTGCTCCGGTGTGTCGGGTGGGTCGCTTCTTCCTCCTTGTGCGGCTGTGTCTGCTCTCGTATCGTTCCACTCATCCCTGCTTCCGTATCCACTCCAATAATGAAGGCTCGTCTTTTATCCATGCGTTCCCTTGCATCCATGCGTTCCCTTGCATCCATGCGTTCCCTTGCATCCATGCGTTCCCTTGCATCCATGCTTCTCTGCCCTCCCTTGACGTCACTTTCTTGTCGTCTCCGTATGCCCACCGCTGCCTCTCTCCCCGTCCTTCTCCCCTCCCCTCTCCCCATCCCACTCCGCACCCCTTTCCCCACCACTCGCTCTCCCCATCCCACTCCGCACCCCTTTCCCCACCACTCGCTCTCCCCATCCCACTCCGCACCCCTTTCCCCACCACTCGCTCTCCCCATCCCTCACCACGCCTTTCCCGACGTGGCAGGCATGGGCCGGGGATCCCCAGAGTGGCAGCAGCATCTGCAGCGAGTGCTGCCGCCTCACGCCCTGCAGGGCCTGCGCACAGCGCTGCTGCTCGTGCCCTCGCGCGCCCAGCGCCTCGCTGCAGACAAGGCGTGGACGAGGGCGCAGCGACAGCTGGCAGGGCAGCAGGCCGAGCAGCAGGCAGAGCAGCAGGGGATGCAGGAAGGGAGAGGTGGGGGAAAAAAGCAGCATCAGGGGCAAGCAGCGGCTGTGGTGGGCGTGCGGATTGCTGTGGCAGGCCGGCCCAGTCTTTCCGGTGGCTGTGCTGGCGCCGACCTGGTGTTGCTCTCCGCGGTCTGCGCCCCCCCTGCTGCGTCCGCCTCCACACGCGCCCTTCCAGCCGTCTGGCCTCCCTCCAGGTCGTTACTGGGCCTGCTAGTGTTGCTACTCATGTTGCCATGCTGCCTTTTCAGTGCAGAGCATTCCGTGGTTTGACTTATACACGGCCTGCGTGGCATGCATGGGATGCACCCGAAGCATCGTGGCTGGCCCATGTGCGTGCATGCTGCAGTATGCCTGTGCTGTTGCCCATTCTACCATCCTCTGCTCTGCTCTGCCGCTCTTGCCATGCCTCATTCATCCCTTTTCCCCATCACAGGATCCGCGCTGCTCTCTCAACCCCGGCACGTGTCCTCATCATCTTGGGCCACGAGGGCACCCTCTCATCCGATAGTGCCACGTGGCGCCGTGTCATTGGCCACACCAAGGCCCACAGCAGGTTCTTTGATGCAGAGCGACTGGGCGAGGCACTGAGGAGGGCGGTGAGGGCAAGGCGCGCGGCAGTGGACGAGATGGCGCAGATGCTGGGGGAGGCTACTGAATTCGCGTCTGGGGGGGCTGTGGGAAGCGTCTCTGGAGGATCCATGCAGTGGCATGATCTGCTGTGGACGGTATGACTGGCGTGTTTGATGTTATTTGGCTGTGAGGGCGTGAGGCCTGTGGGCGGGACGGTGGGTGGGGCACTGTTATTGATCCCTGTCTCACTCCCCCTTCCTTCTCATTCCACCACCGCCCCCCGTATTCCTGCATGCACCTTGCTCCGTCTTCCCTGCACAAACCAACATTCCCACGGGCTACATCCCCCTCGCCTCGCCTCCCTCTTCTTTCCCCCACCCCTTTTACTCCCCTTCAACCCCCTGCCTCTCTCCTTCCTTACCCCACCCCCTCTCTCTCTCCCCTCTTCCTTCCCCTTCCCAACGATTCCCGACAGGGTCTGTTTTCGCCATCATTTGGAGAGGCTCTGGAGCGGCATGAGTCTGCGGAGGTGCTGCTGCTGCTGTGCCGCATACTGCAGGGACGGCAGGGCAGGCGTGGGGAGAATGGCGGCAAGGCGCTGCATCGCTGGCTGGAGGGCGGGGGCAGGGGGGCGGGGCGAGGGCGGGAGGATGAGCTGTCACGGCAGCTTGGTGACATCGTGCATGTGGATGTGGTCGGCGACCTTTGTCTTATCTGGTCAACCGATGTGTGCCATGAAACGCTCAAGCAGGTAAGGCTGAGGTAAAAACGAGGCGACGTTGTTCGAACGTCCAAGCAGCTAAGGACTGGTTAACCGATGGTGTTCAAACGAGTCAGGCAAACACAAGGCGAGTATTACTTGCCTTGCTGTTTTCTCATGTCTACTGCCCAATGCCCATGCCCCCAATGCCCCCCCTGCATCTCGTGCTATAAGCAGGTGGTGAGGTTGTGGGCGCTCGTGCCGGAGAGCCAGTGCAGGCCATGGCTGCGCCGCATATCCGCCCACCTCGCCTGCTACTCGCCCGCCTACCTGCACTACTGCGCTCTGCACCAGTACACATGCTCCTCCTCACCTCGCCTGCGCGTGCCTGCTGCTGTGCAGCAACCCGGGATACACTGGTGGCGCCCTCCCTCAGGTATGGCTGGCTAGATGGCACCTTCCAATTCAGCGCCCTTTTCTCCTTCCACTCCCACCTGCCAGCTCACACCATGCGTCCGCTCTGCTCCCTCTCTTTCACCTCTCAGAGGCCCCCACCGAGGGGGCAGGGGACGCAGGAGACGCAGCGACACCACCAAAGTTCATAGCGCTGCAGCCCGCCATGGCACTCGCGCTGCTGGCGCAGGGATCAGGTGCGCTCAGCGGTGCGCTGAGCCATGTCCCCTTTGAGGTCAACGCGGAAGAGCGCACTGCTGTCACCTGCCCCTCCAGCCTCGTCCTACATGGCCGCTCTGGTGGGTCCTGAGGGAGTCATAAGGGTTTGGCGGGGTCAAAATGGGTCCAGAGGGGTCAAAGGTTGTTGAACGGGGTCAAAGGGGGTCCATGGTGGTCAGCGCGTGACTCTTGAGCTGCTTTACCTGCTTCTGAGTGGTCTTCCTTGCTTCTGCTGTGCTAGTCCCAAACTGAGTTACATGGATTCATTGTGTGATGTGAGGTAATGTGGTGTTCTGAGGCTATTCCAGGTGTTTATAGTGTTCTTCTAATGCGGGCAGGGCTGTGTGGCGCTTGAACTTCAGTGCGGAAGGCTCTTTACAAGACGTACAAACGAATATACCAGATTCGTACTCTCTGGAAGCTCCTTAACCACGCCAATATCAACTGTCAGCAAGCATGTGTAAACGCCCTCACCTCAGTGCTCCCATCCCTCCTCTCAGCCTCTACATACCCCTCCCTCACTCTCTCTCCCCATCCCCACTCCCAGGCATGGGCAAGACAACAGTCATATTCCACCGAGTTCTGCACCTGGACCGTCTCTTTGAGTCGACTCGATATCAACTCTCCCCATTCCCACTCCCTCCCAGGCACAGGCAAGACAACAGTCATACTCCACCGCGTGCTGCACCTGGACCGGCTCTTCCGCCTCTCTGCCCTCCCGCCCCACCTGCTCCTCGGACTGCCTTCTCCTGCCAACGCTTCAATCACCGCACAGGGTGACGGCGTGGGTGGTGATGTGGGGGATGGGAGCGGGGGCGGGTTGCGGCAGGTGGTGTTGACTCGGAGCCTGCACCTGTGCGCGTCCATTCAGACTGAACTCGTGAAGGCTGCACGGTGAGAGTGGGGGCTGCTGCTGCTGCTGCTGCTTGTGCGTGCAGCCAAGAGGACACGGTGGGTGTCATCAAGTTGATGCGTCTCTGGTGGTTGTCTGTTGCGTGGCGCTCATGGGTGTTGCATTGCGTTGCATTGCATTGCACGCTGCATGAATGGGCCTTTTATTAGGTGTGGACGTGCCAAGGAGGCGGGCTGGAACTCCCTGCAAACCCAAGTGCTTTGTGTCTCCCTCCCCCATCCACCATGCTACCACCACCACCACCAGGGCGATAGCAGCCCTCGATGCTTTCCAAGCCGGCTCGCCCCCGCCACTCCCCCAAGCGGGTCAACATGCGCACGGAGCACAGGCAGCTGTTGCAACAGCCGGTCAACGCGTGGGGAGCAGGAGCGGCACGGGCAGCAGCAGTGGCAGCGGCAGCAGCAGCGGTGGCAGGCTGTTAATGCGGGAGGACCTGGAGAGCGCCCTTATGGGGGGGTTGCCGCTGTGCATCGCCGCCATTCCGCCCACCGCGTTCCCCCTCGCGCTCACCCTCTCCAAGCTGCTGCGCCTGCTCGACGCGTCCGTCTCGCGCCCCTTCCTGCACTCCACGCGGCGCCGGCGCCGGCAGGAGGAGGCGAGGCAGCGCCTGGTGCTGGCCATTGGCGTGAGTGGGCGGGGCGTGAGGCAGGCGTGGGAGGAGGGGCAGGTTGAGGGCGCGTGGAGTGGCCGTTTTGAGAAGGACCGGTGGGAGGCGAAGGGGGGCAGTGCGAAAGGGGGCAGTGCAAGGGGGGAATGGAGGCGAGAAGGGGAGGGCTTGGGAGGAGGCGAGTGCAGCAGGAGTGGAAGAGGGCGGGATGGCTGGGGAGGATGGCGGGAGCAGCGGGTGAAGGGTGGAAAGGGGAAAGAAGCAGAGGAGGAAGGAGAAGGAGAGGAAGGGGAGGGGGAGGAGGACGTGGAGGTGGATTATGAGCGGTTCAGGCGGCACTACTGGGCGCACCTGGACCAGCGAGCCACCAACAGAGCTGTGATGGATGCGGCATTCGTGTGGCGAGAGATCAGCTCTCACATCAAGGGCAGCCTGCAGGCGCTGCAGTCGCTGCAGGGGCATGTGGGCGAGGAGGAATACGTGGGGGTCATGGTGGGCAGCAACGAACGCACGAGTGGCATGAGAGGGGCGGACCGGCAGGCGGTGTATGATGTGTTCCGGGCGTATGAGAGGAGGAAGAGGCGGCAGGGCGAGTATGACTGCGCGGACCTAGTGGGGTATCTGCACCGCGAGGTGCGGCGCATGCGGGCGAGCAACGAGCCGTGGTGGGCTGTGGAGGATGGCGTTGCCGTGGGTGGTGCATCCAGCAGTGGCGCCAGTCGCGATGGTGCCAGTCGGCGCACCACTGTTGGATGCACCACCACTGGCAGTGTGCCGTCACACCCGTCACATGCATCACAGCCCAGCGGGTGCGTAGGTGCTGTGTTTGACTGTGTGGCGGTAGACGAGGTGCAGGACCTCACACAGGCACAGCTCGCGCTGCTGCCGCTCCTTTGCTCCAACGTTGCTTCTGGCTTCGTGCTCGCGGGTGACACGGCTCAGTCCATCGCTCATGGGGTGGACTTCCGCTTTGAAGACCTTGCCCGGGTTGTCTATAGCGAGTTTCTGAATAAAGGGGATGAGTGTGGCAGGGTTGGGGGGGAAAGAGGGGATTCAATGGTGGGAAAGGGTGGCCAGCAAATCTGGGAGAGAGGCGAGGGGCGGAAAGAGAGGAGCAGAAAGGGTCAGAGTAAGATCAGCAATCCTAGCAGCAGCAGCAGCAGCAGCAGCAGCAGCAGCAGCAGCAGCAGCAGCAGCAGCAGCAGCAGCAGCAGCAGCAGCAGCAGCAGCAGCAGCAGCAGCAGCAGCAGCAGCAGCAGCAGCAGCAGCAGCAGCAGCAGCAGCAGCAGCAGCAGCAGCAGCAGCAGCAGCAGCAGCAGCAGCAGCAGCAGCAGCAGCAGCAGCAGCAGCAGCAGCAGCAGCAGCAGCAGCAGCAGCAGCAGCAGCAGCAGCAGCAGCAGCAGCAGCAGCAGCAGCAGCAGCAGCAGCAGCAGCAGCAGCAGCAGCAGCAGCAGCAGCAGCAGCAGCAGCAGCAGCAGCAGCAGCAGCAGCAGCAGCAGCAGCAGCAGCAGCAGCAGCAGCAGCAGCAGCAGCAGCAGCAGCAATGCAGCGTCTCACCAGTTGGTGAAATCTCTCCCCACGTTTCAGCTGGTGCGCAACTACCGCACTCACAACGGAGTGCTGCGCCTCGCAAACAGCGTCGTGCAGCTTCTGAAAAGCTTCTTCCCGCTGTCCATAGACCGGCTGCATGAGGAGCTGAGTACGGTGGAGGGGTGCAAGCCGGTGCTGGCGGCAGTTTCCTCCTCGTGGAAACACCAGCTCGCTCAGGGCAGGCCTCTCAGCGCCACTCAGGTGGGCACCTTTCGCTCTCCCTTGTGCTGAACCGCACTCGCCTTCCAACAGGGCATACCTTCTAGGACCGGAAGTCCAAGCCCTCTAGGAAGCTATGCCCTCTAGGAGGGCTTTTCATGCACCCACCATACCATGCTTGAAATGCTAAGGTTCTTGTCGAGTTAAAAAAGTCACCTTGCGTGGAAGATCCTAAGGATCACCACACGACACATATCTCTTCGCGCCATGCAGGCCATCATAGTGCGCAGCGCGGAGGAGAAGCGTGCCATGGCTGGGCACTTTAAAGTGAAGCCGGTGGTCCTCACAGTCGAAGAGTGCAAGGGACTCGAGTTCGAGGTGTGTTCATGCCCCGCCTAACTTGTAACGCCGTGAATCGTACCAGGGGTCGCCTCATAGCAATGGCTGCAAGTTTCCTCGTTCTCACGATCCAATCCTGCCGAGCTCTCCACTTGCATGCTCACGATCTGCTGCCGTTTTGCTTTCGACTTTCATCCCCGTCCCTTCCGCCCTTCCTTGCGCTGTCCCTTGCTTGTCAGGACGTACTACTTTTCAACTTCTTCACCTCACCGCACTCCACGGCACCCTGGCATCTCGTGTACACCTACATGCGCAGCACTGGCCTCTCACCGCGCTTTGGCGCCAGCCTGCCTTGTCGCTGCAGCACCAAGGGCCATAGCAGCTGCAGTCTCTGCACTCTGGATGACCTCAGGTGGGCTTTGCTGCTGCCTTCGTGCCACGCATGCACTACAAAAAGAGTGACCCGGCTGTTGCTTGTCCTGTAAAGCATTCCTTCTGCGTCTGCTGTGCGTCTCTCTGTCTTCTCTAGGGTTGCAGCCGGGCAAGCCGATGGACTTCCTATGAACTTCACCTTCATCTTCACCTTCATCTTCACCTTCATCTGGGGTAGTGTAGGTCAGAAGATCTCGAAGCACTGGGCAGCAGAGTACAAGACTAGTCAGCCAGCTTGTGAACCCAAAGCATACGCACGTGTCTGCATTGTGAGTCGGCTCGACTCTACAATTGCCATGCATCTCTCTGCCTTCCATTACGTCCGCTGCCCTGTGCCCTGCAGGCACTGGTCGCTGTGCTCCGAGTTAAAGCAGCTGTACGTGGCAATAACGAGGGCCAAGCAGAGGCTGTGGGTGCTGGAGGAGAGGGGGGCAGGCGAGCGTACGCCCATGGGAGACCTGTGGGCGGCGATGGGCATTGTGGCAGTGAAGGAAGAAAGGGAGGTGTGCCCGGAGTATGTGAAGCGTGTGTCCAGTGAGAAAGACTGGAAGGCGCTTGGCTTTACTGTGAGTTGGTTGGGCAACAACAGCCTGTGCAGTGCTGGCGATGGTGGGAGGTTGTGGCTCTGCTCGTCTTGATGCTTCTCCCTGCTGCATCTCATATCTTAAACGCCACGTCATCTCTCAACCCTCTGGTCCCCCCCGCTCCTCTTGCTTCCGCGTGGTATCTATGCCAAATAAAGACTGCTGAGCAGCTGTCTTTTCTTGTTTTATTCAGTTACTATATTGTGCCTAGTTGGGAATCGACTACACAAAATGAAACCGAACATGACCAGCATTCAATATAAAAGTTGGATATTCTCTCAGCTTGAATTTGCCTTGCTGCGACCTCATATCCTCTGCGCTGCCCCTTCCACATGGTGCTCCCAACCCATGGTCCGCAGTTCTTTCAAAGAGGCGATTACGAGGCAGCTCGGGCGAGCTTTGAACGGGCTGGGGACACGGGCAACGCTCGCTTCGCTGAAGCCACCATGTTCTATGAGGCGGGCATGGGGCGCACAGCACAACCATCTGCAGCCGCCATTGCTGTATCAACCTCCTCTGCATCATCAGCCTCGTCTGCGCTGCCCCCAGTGCTCCCGGACCTCTCTCTGCTGTCCTGCACCGATCTGCTCCTGGCTGCGGCTCGTTGTTTTGAGGGCATCAAGAGGGGCTTGGAGGCAGGCCGTGCGTATGCCAAGGCTGGGTGCAATGAGGAAGCAGGTAAGGGTTGTTTCACGTATGCATGGGGCGGTGAAGGTATGAGCGTTCATGTGCGACGATGAGCACACGGAGAAGGCTGCAGAGCATACATGAGCGCAGCGCAACGTTAGTGCATCTTGCAAGCACTCGCATGCGCCCCGCCGTTCGTCATCCACCATTCATTTCTTTCCTCGTCTGTCACGCATGTCATGCCTTTCACACGCTCGCCTTGCGCCCTGCTCTCCCGCCCTCCCTTAATCTTTTAAAGATTTCTCCCATCGCCCCACCCCCCCCGCCACCAGCACGTGCCTATCTCACGCTCTGCCAACCTCCTGACCACGCCAACGCTGCACGGTGCTTCGAGAAGCTAGGCAGGTTCGCCGAAGCATCTGATTGCTACAACGCCTTGGGCGACAGACCCAGTGCCCTCGCTGCGTGCCTACGTGGCAGCATCTTTGCCAAGGGCCTCTCACTGCTCGACAGCTGGCAGGCAGTGGCGTCTCACCAGGCCACGTCAGCACCGGCATCTCACGGGGCAAGTGAGTCCAGCTCAGCATCTGCGGGACCAAGGAGTGGAGATTTGTCTCACCTGAGGCATTGGTACGTAGAGGAATGTGCAAGGAGGCTGGGAGAGCGAGGCAGTTACGGCGAGATGATGGCGTATGTGCATCTGCTGCCGGGATTGCCCGCCAAGCGCGCGTTCCTGGAGGGCGAGAGGCACCTGAGGGAGCTGGCAGGTCTAGAGGAGCAGGAGGGCGAGGTGAGGCGGGTGCCGGGTATACTGCTGAGAGCGGGGATGCTGCTGGAGGCATGCACTCACTTGTGGAACAGGGGCTGGCCAGGGCGGGCCTTGGTGGCCTTTGTGCGGCACCTGCAGTGGTGGGTGAATGCGGCGGGACTAGGGGCATGGCGGGTGGGAATGAGGAGGGAAGCAGGGGGCGGCAGCGAGGGGCAGGGGAGGGGCGTGGCGCTGAGCAGAGAGGAGGTGGCGATGGCTCGGCGGCTGCGGGTAATTGAAACGGAGAGTTTGGAGTTTGCAGACAGGATGGAGTGTGAGGGGAGTGATCTGGCGTGGGCCAAGGTGGAGATGAGCGTTCTATTGTTCGTGATTGAGCTTCACTCTGATGCTGCTGATGCTGCTGATGCTGCTGATGGTGCTGATAATGCTGATGATTCTGCTGCTGCTGCTTCTGTTGCTGCTGGTGGTGATGGTGGGATCAGTGGCAAAGCAGGTTGTCCAGATAGGCGTGTGTCAGAAGCTACAGACCAAGGGGCGGGGAGTGCTGCTATGTGTGCATCTTGTGTGGAGCTGGGCCGAGCAAAGAGTGCGGAAAGGGAGGCTCGCGTGTCGCAAGCGTGGATGCTGGTAAGCCGGGGTCAGATGCTTCCAGCAGGGCGCATGGAGATAGGCCCTCAGAGCGCTGCTGTAAACAGCAGAGCGATAGGCCCTCAGAGCGCTGCTGTAAACAGTGGAGAGAGCAGGTTCAGGGGCGTGGAGCGGCAGATGGTGGTGAATGAGTTGAGCAAGGCGGAGTTGATAGAGGTGGAGGAGCTTTGGGAGGGGGGTGACGTGCTGCGGAAGGGCTCGGAGCAGGTGTGGCGAGAGAGGCGGGCGGAGAGCAGCGGCATGGAGCAGAGGGACAGCAGGGGTGGTGAGCAGAAGGGGCGTGTGGAGTGGAAGGGGGCGGAGCAGCTGCGAGCAGAGCTGATGCTCGCTTACACCGGGCTGCAGGAGTCTCTGTGCTTGCTGCAGTGGGGGCAGCGCTGCCTGTTGCACTACCTGGAGGAGCATTTTTCAGCTGAGCCTCACAGCAATTGCCCCCGCCGCGAACCTGCTGCTCACACATCTCAGCCTGCTGCCAACGCAACAGCAGCGGCTACAGCGTCAACGGCTGCATTGACTTTTGAGTCGACTCAAAAGCCTGCTGCCAACGCAACAGCAGCGGCTACAGCGTCAACGGCTGCATTGGCCAGTCGTGCTGTCACAATATCAGCTGCAGCAGCAGCAGCTCTACAGGCGTGCAATCTCCCCGCGCCGTCCCTCTCTCTTCTCCACCACAAGGCGGCTCTCTGGTGGTGGCGATGGGCTCGCAGGCTGGCCTCCCTGCTACCCGCCCTGCACCATCTCCACAACCACTCCATGCTTAAATCAGACTCCCACCTGCCCCACCTGCACGCCCTTTTCTCCCTCCTCTCCACCACCACCTTCCACCGCCGCATCCTCTCCTCCTCTTCCCCCTCCTGCCAGATCGATGACATGGGGTTGGCGTGGGCGCGTGGGGAGAAGGCTGAGAGGCTGTCCTCCACAGGGCGGAGCGGGAAGATGGAGGGGAAGCAAGCTGTAAAGGCGGTGAAAGGGGTGTGGGAGAAGGAGTTTGAGAAGCGATTGGAGGACACGAGGCGAGTGGTGTTTGATGGGGTTCAGCTGTGCTCCTCTGCACTCATAAGCTGCTCTGACAAGGTTGGTACCTTGTTAGTGTTAGCCTCAATCTCACACCTTGTGGTTTGTACTTTCTATATCCTAGCGTAGTGTAGTTTGCACTTAGTGTTTGGTTGGATGTACACCCACATCCAAACCAAACCCAAATGTGATGTCCAAGCAATCTCCAACCCACCAATTGGAGATTGCCTTGGGTTTACCCCCAATCCCTAGAGATTGTCTTGGATTCCCTTCCCCATCCATTCCTTGCTCATCCTGGATGTACTTAAAGAGCTTCGAGCTCATTACTAATGTATAGATTCTTAGCTCAAGTTCCAACATACCCGTCTTGCTCTGTAGTCACTGCTCCAAGTTTTGAGTGTTCAGAAGGGCAGTCACGTATGGTGGATTATTGCCTGTATCTATAATCTAATGCCAATCTTTCTTTCACATAGAACTTTGGTTCATCCCTTTGTGCCGTATTGTACCTGCCCATAGTCCCCTTGTGTTCTTTCGGGGACGGTCTCAAACGGTCGTTTCCCAAACTCCTCCCATTCCTTTGCCGTCTGTGTTTGAACTGAATGTGGCTTTGGCAGGTCACTATGGCCACGTGCAAACATCACATGGCCACTGCTTCTGAACCACCGCTCTCTCTGCATCAGACACCCTTCCCATGCCCTTCTCTGCTCAGCCCCGTTCACACCCTCTTTTTCCTTTCTGAACCCTTCCTGTCGTTGCTCCCTGTCACCACACTTTCCTGCTCACGCTCTGCCTTCTTCCAGCCCTGTTCTCTCACTCCCACTCACAACCTCCTCACCTCCCTCCTCCTCCACCCCAGTCCTTCCTCCACGCACTCTCGCCTTCATGCCCGCCTCCACCTCACGCTCCTTCATCTCAAGGCTGCCCTCGCAGCCCTGCTGCTGCTGCCAGACAATCGGCTGGAGAAGCGCAAGTCGAGGGAGAAACGAGCTGCCAGTGCTGAGGAGGGGAGTGGCGGAGCTGGAGGGGTGGGGGGAAGTGGAAGCAGGGGCGGGTGTGGTGGAAGCTGTGGTGAGGGTGAAGGCAAAGCGGGCGTGGGATGCGAGAATGGAGTGGGTGTAGCCTGGACCGCGCATGGGGCAGCCGTGGGGAACACAGCAGGGCAACGTGTGGTTGGTGCAGTGCTGCATGGCGCATGTATGGAGGAGACTGCTGGGCTTTCAGAGAAAGAGGCGTGGGGCATCACACAGCTCCTGCTCGTGTCTACAGTCAACTCCTTTCCCGACCCTCGCAACCCTCCGTACTTCAAGCAACAGTTTGGCAGCTTGAAGGGAAATCCTCTCATGGCAACCTCTGTCAACGGCTTCTTTGAATCACTCAGCACGCGAGCACTGCTGTACCAGCAAGCGTCCAACATGTGGAACGTGCATGGAGATGCGGGACGGCAGGTTCCTGCCATCTGCCTTGCGTCATTGCTGCCTCCATCTCCTCCTCCATCTCCTCCTCTTGCTCTTCCCTGTCCTCCTCTTTCTGCTCCCTTCTATGCTGCCCCCCCAATCCTCCTCCCCGATCCTTTATCTGCGATCTTCAACCTCCTGGCACCTTTTGCTGTCCACCTCGCTCGGCTCCTCTCTCTGCTGCTCCCTGTCTTACGTGCTGGTGCAACGGAAAGGGAGGGTGAATTCATTGGGCGGGCTAGGCTGGAGCTGGTGCGTGCGGTAGAGGCAATGGGCATTGACATGGTTTGCCACTCACTCTCACATTATGAGAGCCACTGCTGCAATTGGGGAAAGGGCGGATGAGGATGGCCCGGTTATCAGTGGTGTGGCGTGCGCTTGAGAAGGCTGGTGGTAGTTATGGTTTGTTGCACCATGTTTCCCCGTATACACAACCCTAGGGTGCCTTTTAACCTTCGTATAGAAAACGAGTTGGGTGATAAAAGTGGGGAAGTACCGTACCAAGCACCTGGATGCCTTTATCTGATGCCTATGTAGGTTGAGTCTTGCTTGCTTGAGTTGAGGGTCCTCACCACTTCCAGTCCACAATCACATGGTACAAAGAAAAAGATCCATGTCATTCAGAAAATGCCCTCTGCTCAATCCTCCATTGCTAGTTGAGCCTTCTGCTCTTGCCTCACCACTATTGAACCCTCTCCGTTCCTGCCTCTCTACTTGAACCTTCCATTCTCGCCTCACCACTTGAACCCTCCGCACTCTCGTCTCTCGCCACTTGCACGCTCTGCTCCTGCCAGTTGCCCCTTCCCTGACGCGACTCGTTTTTATTAGAGGCACACGGTATTGGTACCTTCCTAGTGCGTAGTCAGACTAGTAATTGAGTGGAGTGGACCCTGCGGGAAAAACGAATCCTTGATGGGAAAATACAGAAAGTACACGCTTGGAACTGATTCCAACATGCATGATGGCATTGACGGTGGCGCCAATCACACTAGCTCTTTTGGAAAAACTGTATCAGATTTGGATCTCTGAGTACTTCTCCCCTATCGCACCCGCCTTGTGCTTCTGGTCCTTTATATGGGCAAGCGTCGCCCGGTAGAAGCTGTGCACGGTGGCATCCACGGTGGCGCCATCCACAGCGAGCTCGGAGGTGATGAGCTCGATGAGGCCATTTGGGAAACGATCAAATCTGGATTTCAGCATACTTCTTCCCTATCGCACCCGCCTTGTGCTTCTGGTCCTTAATATGCGCAAGCGTCGCCCGGTAAAAGCTGTGCACGGTGGCATCGACGGTGGCGCCATCGACAGCGAGCTCGGAGGTGATGAGCTCGATGAGGCCTTGCAGCACCACGGGGGTCACATGGGGGTTGCCCTTGTCAAAGAAGTACAGGTATCTGGGGAGGGAGAGGGAAGGGTGGGGGAAACGGGAATTGTTGACTGCTGTTAAGCACACGCCCACCCACACACACACTTGACTACTGTTAAGCAAACACAAGCACATGCCATAGTACTCACTTGTTCAGAATCTCCAGCAGCAGCACCACGTGCGAGCCATGTTGGTTCTCAAAAGTCAAACCAACGTGCGAGCCATGTTGGTTCTCAAAAGTCAAACCAACGTGCGAGCCATGTTGGTTCTCAAAAGTCAAACCAACGTGCGAGCCATGTTGGTTCTCAAAATTCAAACCAACGTGCGAGCCAGGCACTCTGGCAGCAGCAGAGAGCTGTTGGGCCGCTGCATTGGCAATCTTGAGCGCTCGCTTTAGACACAACACCACCCGCACACATTGTTTATCATACGCACACACACACACTAACACGATGAGACTCACTTGTTGAGAATCTCCACCAGCAGCACCACGTGCGAACCGGGCACTCTGGCAGCGGCTGAGAGCTGCTGAGCTGCTGCGTTGGCAATCTTGAGCGCTCTCTTGAGACACAGCACCACCCTGGTGCATGGGGAGCAGCGGGTAAGATAAAAGTAAGATTGGGATGCGCGGATGAGAATGATAGATGGGAGTGAATGCAGTGAATCTTGAGAGCACTCTAGCAGCAGAAGAGAGCTGCTGAGCCGCCGCATTGGCAATCTTGAGCGCTCTCTTGAGACACAGCACCACCCTGGTGCATGGGGAGCAGCGGGTAAGATAGAAGGGAGATTGATAGAATGATAGATGGGAGTGAAGGCAATGGACGGGTGGAGTGGAGAGCTCTAGCAGAGGCAGAGAGCTGTTGAGCTGCTGCAATGGTTGGCTACCTTGAGAGCTCGCTTCAGATACAACACCACCCTGTGCAGGGGAAGCAGCTAAGATAGATGGAAATTGGAATGTGCAGTTGAAAGACTGGCAAAGGGAGCAACGAAAGTGGCAATGCCTCGGAAAACGAAAGTGGAGCGTACTGATATGAACACTGAAAGGGGGGAGGAATTTGGGATGCTGGGATACTGAGAAAAATAGCAGCTAGTTTGAACTTGGGAAGGAGGAAGGAGCAAAGTTTGCATCTCACCTCTCGCCGTCTCTAGGGCCGTTCTCCTCGTCGCTCCAGAAGAGGTGTGCACAGGTGCACACAGCGCGACACTGGTCCGCTTTTGAGTAGGCGCAAAATTTACCTAGGAACCAGTTTGCATCTCACCTTTCGCCATCTCTAGGGTCGTTCTCCTCATCGCTCCAGAAGAGGTGTGCACAGGTGCACACAGCGCGACACTGGTCCGCTTTTGAGTAGGCGCAAAATTTACCTAGGAACCAGTTTGCATCTCACCTTTCGCCATCTCTAGGGCCGTTCTCCTCATCGCTCCAGAAGAGGTGTGCACAGGTGCACACAGCGCGACACTGGTCCGCTTTTGAGTAGGCGCAAAATTTACCTAGGAACCAGTTTGCATCTCACCTTTCGCCATCTCTAGGGCCGTTCTCCTCATCGCTCCAGAAGAGGTGTGCACAGGTGCACACAGCGCGACACTGGTCCGCTTTTGAGTAGGCGCAAAATTTACCTAGGAACCAGTTTGCATCTCACCTTTCGCCATCTCTAGGGCCGTTCTCCTCATCGCTCCAGAAGAGGTGTGCACAGGTGCACACAGCGCGACACTGGTCCGCTTTTGAGTAGGCGCAAAATTTACCTAGGAACCAGTTTGCATCTCACCTTTCGCCATCTCTAGGGCCGTTCTCCTCATCGCTCCAGAAGAGGTGTGCACAGGTGCACACAGCACGACACTGATCCGCTTTCTTTAGTAGCTTGGCCGAGTACTGGGGATGGCAGGGAGGAAAGGAGGAACAGAGGAAATGAGGGGGGTTCTCAAAGTGGAGACAGGAAGAGCAGGTGGGCAATGAACCACAGAGCATGAAACATACCTGGTAACTATACCTGGTGGTAACCCTATGTTGCAGTCCCATGTGGCAACCATGTGTGGTAAACCTATGTGGTAACCCTATATAGGACGAACCTGCAGTGGCCTTGTGAGTGAGGGCGATTCACCTCTGTAAACACGTGAGTGGCAGTGCTGCAGCGTTCCTGTGATGCGGTGCAGAGCGGTGACCTGCACCCTACTTGGTAACCAGACCTGCTGAACATACCTGGTATCTCTACATGGTAACACTATGTGGTAACCGTACGTACTCCAGTGGCCTTGTGTGTGAGCGTGTCTCTGTTCTCCTCTGCAAACACGTGGCAGCGCTGCAGCGTTCCAATGATCAGGTGCAGAGCGGTGACCTGTGCCTTGGAATCCTGGTGGAGGAGAGGTGCGGAGAGAGGAGAGAGGAGAGAGGAGAGAGGAGAGAGGAGAGAGGAGAGAGGAGAGAGGCGAGAAGAGAAGAGCAGAGGGGTGAGAGAGTTGTTAGAAAGTGAAAGTTTGTATCAATCAAGGAAAGAAGGGCACACATAGGTGGAAGCGAAGGCTGGAAGGGAAGAAGGTGGTTTGGGCAAAGGTTGGGATATCCAACCGCCATTGGTTGAATGTGAGTAGGGAGAAGGACGCACATGCATAACATGCAGCTGTCAGATTTGTGTGATAAGTTGAGATTTGAGTGCATGTTATGAGGAGGAGATATCGGTGAGTGGCATGTTTTGAGTCGACTCAAAACTCGCCTTATCACATGTGAGCACGGAGAAAGAAGGACGCACATGCATAACATGCAGCTGTCAGATTTCCGCCATTGCTTGAATGTGAGGAACTCAGATCTCCATTCATAGATGACAAAGGTGAGGGTGAAGAGGTCATAGGCGATAGGCTCCAGGCCACACGCACACAGTCGCACACAGGCGTGCACACATCATCCCATGCATGCATTCTTACATGTGCACAGCACAGGCTACTGACCGATATCTCCTCCTCATAAATGACAAAGGCGAGGGTGAAGAGGTCATATGCGATGGGCTCCAGACCACACGCACTGGCCACCTGCGCGCACTCGAGGGCGAGCTTGAGGGCCAATGGAGGCACGAACTCTGACAGGGTCTCCACCACCTGGCATGTGGGTGCGGGTGGGGTGTGGGGTGTGGGGTGTGGGGTGGGGTATGGAGTATGGGGTATGGGGTATGGGGTGTGGGGTATGGGGTATGGGGTGTGGGGTGTGGGGGAGGAGGGAAGAGAGCACTTATGGGGAAGCTCAAACAGAAGAGAGGCTGCTGTTGATAAGGATTTGAATCCTTTGGCATGGAAGCAGCAGCTGGGATTATTCTGTAGCAGATCGGAACTGTCGAGTGACGCAGATGGACAAAGGGACGCGAGAGAAACCAACCTTGTGCAGGACGAGGAAGAGCGTGAGCGGAGTGACAGGCCCCTCCCCTGCTGCAAATTCACACGGTCGACCCCAAGGGCCACATGGTAGCAGAGCAAGCGTGCGCAACAAGCAAGGACAACAGACCTTGTGCAGGAAGAGGAAGAGCGTGAGCGGCGTGACAGGCCCCTTCCCCCCTGCTGCACTATTACACAGTCGAACCAAGGGCCACGTGCTAGCAGAGCAAGCAAGCAAGCGCAACAAACGAGCGTGACAGACCTTGTGCAGGAAGAGGAAGAGCGTGAGAGGAGTGACAGGCCCCTCCCCTGCTGCAGCAGCCGCCATTGCTGCTTGACTCGCCGCTGCCCCCGCTGTTGCCAGTGCCTGATCCGCCCCTGTGCTGCCCTGAGATAGCAGCTGGTGCACCAACTGTGGAGGGAAGGAAACAAGAGCGCAGGGAAAGAAGCAGCAGCATGAGAGGAGGTCAGAGGGGTGAGAGTGTCTGCTTCTGCTGCAGCAGCCGCCATTGCTGCTTGACTCGCCGCTGCCCCCGCTGTTGCCAGTGCTTGATCCGCGCCTGTGATGCCCTGAGCTAGTAGCTGGTGCACCAGCTGTGATGGTGGGCAGGGATTGGAGAAGATTGAGAGGACGATATCTCAACAAAAGGGTGATGAACAGTTCCCTGCCTGCCCCAGCTGCTGCCAGTGCTTGATCCGCCTCTGTGATGCCCTGAGGTAACAGCTGGTGCAGCAGCTGTGATGGAGGGAAAACAGGAGTGAAAGAAGGAACTGAGCTCTTGAGATGTCCCAAAAACACACCAAGGGATGTGATGGTCAAGCGATAGAGATGAGGTAGTCCACGCATGCAGCAAATGGAGGCTCTGAATTGTAGTACTAGCGCACTGAACGACACTGATTTATGATGAATCAGCCATCCACTGTTTGCTGTTAAGAGGAAAAAACATCAGAACTCAGTGTTGGAACAATGTAAGTAATTTCAACAGTCTGCCCGGTTATATGCAAAATGAGGTGTCTTGCAGAAAGCTAAGGATACACCGTTGACGAGTGTACTTGCAAACTATAACGAGCATACCTGTAGCGAGCAGAAGACAAGTGAGGGGATGGTGAAGCGTAGTCTGGATTGGCCTCCCTTGAAGAGATGCGTTCGGATGATGGCTAGGATCTGACACGTGTAGGCAAGTGGAGGGAACAGAGAGGGAGCGATGTGTAAGACACAGTAGGCCACGCAGGCTGCAACAGAGAGAGAGAGAGTTGCAGCCTTCACTGGCCTCCTTGAAGAGATGCGTTCGGATGATGGCGGGGTGTGTGGGCAAGCAGAGGAAGGCATGAAACAGAGAGAAGGTGCAGGCTGGACGGATGAGGAAGGCATGAAACAGAGAGAAGGTGCAGGCTGGACGGATGAGGAAGGCATGAAACAGAGAGAAGGTGCAGGCTGGACGGATGAGGAAGGCATGAAACAGAGAGAAGGTGCAGGCTGGACGGATGAGGAAGGCATGAAACAGAGAGAAGGTGCAGGCTGGACGGATGAGGAATGCATGAAACAGAGAGAAGGTGCAGGCTGGACGGATGAGGAAGGCATGAAACAGCACTTCATGTGGACGAGGCGGGATGGGGGCTGAGACGGGAGGAACTACGTTACTTCTTCTAGACTCACCTGGAACTGTATTCTCGGGTCGGGATTGACCAGCAGGTCCTCAGCTTCACTTGGAAGCTAACTGACATTGCCTCACTAAGGTGCAGTTGTAACTCACCTGGAACTGTATTCTCGGGTCGGGATTGACGAGCAGGTGCACGAGACGCGCCACGAGATTCTGCTCCTCAGAAAAGTCGTCCATGTCAAGCTGGAGGAGGGGGGGGTAAGAGAAGGAATAAAAAAGGGGATGAGGAGGAGAATCAGAGGAGGAGAAACAGAGAGCCGAAAAAGAAGAAAGGAGGAGAGAAGGCGAACGGAGGTGGGCTCAGAGCACATGGAGCCATCACATTTTGCGTGTGATGAGTCGATTTTTGTTTTTGAGTCGACTTAAAAATCGACTCATCACACGTGGGTTCAGAGCACGTGGAGCCATCACATTTTGCTCCTCTTAAGATTCGTTCATGTCGAGCTGGAAGGGCGAGGGGGAGTGGGGGGGAGAGCAAGTTTGAGAGAGAACAAATGGCAACGAGGTGTGAAATGGATTGGGAAAGGCACCAAGGCCGTGGGGTTGAGGAGGAGGAGGAGAAAGAACAAAGTACTGGATATGGCACATGAACAAAGAAGCTGCACATGCCCTCCCTCCCTTCGCCTTTTGAGATGACTCAAGAGGGGCCTCCGCCATGTCACGAGTAAGTAAGCTATGCTCTCTCAACACTCCTCCTCTAGCACACGCCCTCCCTCCCAGCATCACATGCCCCACTCCTCACTTCCCAACACTGTGTGCCATTAATCGCGGGTCCTTACAGCAAGCTCACCTCGTCGACTGGAGGAACGCCGTCCATGTCTTGAGTGAGATGGCGCACGAGGCTGAGTAAGCACTCCACCTGAAAAGGGTCGGGTGGTGGGGGGGAGGGGCGGGAGGGGAGCAGAGGAGAGGAATGTGGTGAGATGGTGGACGAGGCTTGCAGAGAGCAACAAGAGCGAAGCGACCCCAATGCATGCACATGTAAATGACTTGAGACATTCAAATGGTGGCACACCACCCACTCACCTTCTCCGGGTCCCCAATTGTCGTCTCGTGTTTGACCATGTTCTGTATGATCACCACCGCCATGGCCTTATTGGTCCCGTGGTCCAGGTGCCCCATGACCCGCGCGTAGTCCCTCTGGAGTCTGGAATTCGTGCTGCAGAGGCACAACCCTGATCAGATCAGATCAGATCAGATCAGATCAGCCCTGAGCCCTCAACGCACCTTCTCAGGGTCTCCAATGGTTGTCTCGTGTTTGACCATATTTTGTATTAATAACCACCGCCATGGCTTTATTTGTTTCATGGTCCAGGTGCCCTATGACCCGCGCGTAATGCGGCAGGTGAGAAGCATATCAGCCCGTAACTCACCTTCTCTGGGTCTCCAATCGTGGTCTCATGCTTCACCATGTTCTGAATGATCACCACCGCCATTGCCTTATTCGTCTCATGGTCCAGGTGCCCCATGACCCGTGCGTAGTGTGGTAGCTGCAGCACCGTCAGCACGCCGCCCGGCCCAAACTTGTCCAGCGCTGCTGAGAGTAGCGCCACCAGCTGCTTTGTTGTCGGGCTGTCCTTGGTCTGCCTCCTCGCATCCAATATCCCCACACAAGCCGCCTGTTGGTTGGGATACAGACAGGGAAGTGGGTCGCAGGGGAGGGAGGCGGGAGAGGAGAGACAAAGGAAAGGAGGCGGGATAGAAAGGGGTTGTCTCGTGGCTTGTCTCGTGGTCAACATGAGCCATGAGCCATGACCAAAGCTGCCAAGCATGAGACAGCACCGTCAGCATGCGTTCACCAGCAGCATGCTGCCAAACAAACATCGGCAGGCAGAGTTAAAAGCACCAACGTTCACCAGCACTTGGTCTATGTAGTCGACGCGGCCGGGATGCACTCGCAGCATTCTCGGTTACTAGAAACACATTTACCACTTGGCTGAAGAGAGAACGCTGGTTGAATGCACACTGGTGCGGATGTGACGGCACACACTGGTGCGGATGTGATGGCACACACTGCTGCGGATGTGACGGCACACACTGCGTTTTGAGTCGACTCAAAACACACCTGGATGTGACGGCACACACTGGTGCGGATGTGACGGCACACACTGCTGCGGATGTGACGGCACACACTGCTGCGGATGTGACGGCACACACTGCTGCGGATGTGACGGCACACACTGGTGCGGATGTGACGGCACACACTGCTGCACATCTGACTGAAGGAGCGTCACCAGCACTTGGTCGATGTAGTCGAGTCTGTCGGGATGCACGCGCAGCACTCAAGCACTCTTGGTGCTGTCACGCACTCTTCATGTCAACTGAAGAGAAAACACTGCTGGGCGGTTCTTGAGACGCGTGAGCTCACCAGCACTTGGTCGATGTAGTCGAGGCGAGGCGATCGGGATGCACTCGCAGCACAAACTGCACTCTCGAGCACTTGCTGCTGTCACACACTTGGTAGAAAGGGCTTGAGTTGAGCTCACCAGCACTTGGTCGATGTAGTCGAGGCGGTCGGGATGCACGCGCAGCACAAACTGCAGGAGAGCCAGATGCAGGCTGACGACGCCCTTTAGCGGCATCTCCGCCTGCGCCTCCATCACCTGGTGGGGTTGGGGGAGGGCGTTCAAGGGAGGATGATGAGAGGGGTGAGGGGTGACACGCACGGCATGGAGCAGAGGCAGGTGGGAGGGAGCAGGAAAGGTGCAGGCTGACGACGCCCTTTAGAGGCATCTCCGCCTGCGCCTCCATCACCTTGTGGGGTAAAGGGTGGAAGGAGGTGAGGGTGAGTGGTAAAGGGTGTGAGTGAGAACAGACAAATGGCATCCAGCAGAGCAAGGTGCAGGCTGACCAGACCACACCCTTTAGCAGCATCTCCGTCTGCTCCTCCATCACCTGATGAGGGGGGAAGAGGATGGGGGCGCGGGTGGTGAAGGGTGCGAGTGAGAACAGACGCATGGCGTGCAGCAGAGAGAGATGCAGGCAGGCTGACAACGCCCGTGAGAGGCATCTCCGCCTGTGCTTCCATCAGCTGACGGGGGGGGGGGAATTGTGTGGGTGAGCGGTGAAGGGTGTGAGTGAGAACACATGCATGGCGTGCAGCAGCAGACGCAGGCTGACAACGCCTTTCAGCAGCCTCTCCGCCTGTGCCTCCGTCACCTGATTGGGTTGGGGGAGGGCGTTCAATCAAGGGAGGATGAGAGGGGTGACACACATGGCATGGAGCAGAGGCAGGTGGGAGGGAGCACGGCAAGATGCAGGCTGACAACGCCTTTCAGCAGCCTCTCCGCCTGTGCCTCCATCCCCTGACGGGGGGAGGATGGACGGGGGAAGGGGGGGCGGCGGTGGGATGGGTGGGAGTGAGAAGAGACACTTTGCGTGCATAAGTAGACGACTTTTGAGACGTCTCAAAAGGAGTGAGAAGAGACACTTTGCGTGCAGCAGAGTCAATTGCTCAGCTCACTGGCGACGCCCTTTAGAGGCATCTTGGTCCGTGCCTCATCACCTGATGGGGGAAGGGGTCGGTTGAGAGAGAAAAGGAAACGGGTGACACACATGGCATGGAGCACTGCACTGTCACCAACTCTACCCCCCTCAAAAACCCACCATGCCCCTTATTTCCCCAAGCCTCGCCTTGCTGACAGCAGAGTTGAGCTTGGCAAAAGCATCCACCTCCAGGGAATGACACCTAATTTGTGGCCAAACTTCCAGTCACCTAACAATTATAACAGCATTAACCGCCCTCCACAGTCCACAACCTTACCCCCCATTCCCCCGGCTTTCCTCACCTTGCTGACAGCGGAGTTGAACTTGGCAAAAGCATCCACCTCCAGGAAATGCGGCAAGGCCTGGTGATTACGGGGCAGCAGGGGAAGGAGAAAAAACAGACGCCAGATGAGGAGGTCGAAAATGCACGGGAATGAATGAAGCACCTTAACTGAACACTGTGCGGACATCCTCTGCGGTCTGTATGCCCAGAGGATGTGCGCTCAGGACACGCCCTCAGAGGGGGCTGCACATGGGGGGAGTGGCCCCAGGGGGCTACGAGCATGCCCACAAACGTGCGCCTACACACTCACAAAAGGTGGAAAGGCACGCCCACTTCACTGCAGCTCAGGACACATATCCAGGCGTTTTGAGTCGACTCAAAACCCGCATATGTGCCTAGGAGCGGACGCGCACGGGAAGCGGCCCCAGGGGACTACGAGCTAGACCCACAAATGTGCGCTTATATACTCAGATATGGGTTCTATTCATGAAGGTTGAGGGGCAGTCCATGAGTTGAGACATGTTGGTGTGCACGTCAGCACTCGGCTGCACTGCAGCTCAGGGCACGCCCCTAGGGAAGAGAGGAGTTTGATCACACAGTGTAGGAGGACCACTGGGCAGGCCATCCACAGCGTAGGACCACTGGCCACTCACATCGCAGGGCTACCAGCACTCACATCCGGGTTCTTATCCATGAAGGTCGATAGGCGGTCCATGAGTTGAGACATGATGGTTCGCACATCAACGCTGGGCTGCAGCTCGAGGCACGCCTCCAGGGAGGAGTGGACTCCACAGCATAAGGCCACTGCGCACACACATCACATCGCAAGGCTGCCTGTGCCACTCACATCAGGGTTCTTATCCATGAAGGTCGAAAGGCGGTCCATCAACTGAGACATGATGGTCCGCACGTCAACACTCGGCTGTAGCTCAGGGCACGCCCCCAGGAGCGTCTCGAGGGTGTTGAGATGGAAGTCGTCTGGGAAAACCTGGATGAGGCAGTCCATCAAATATTGCTGGGCTATCTCGTCCCTGCAGTTCACGATCTGGAAGGGAGGTCCGATGAGGAAGGGAACGAGAGAGGAAGGGAACGAGAGAGGAGGGGAGGGAGGATGAATGCAGTGCACGCACTCAGGGCACGCCCCCAGGAGCGTCTCAAGGGTGTTGAGATGGAAGTCGTCTGGGAACACCTGGATGAGGCAGTCCATTAGGTACTGCTGGCTATCTCGTCCCTGCAGTTCACGATCTGAGGGATGTGATAAGAGAGGGAGGGGAGGGGCGGGACAGAGACAGAGACAGAGACAGAGACAGAGACAGAGACAGAGACAGAGACAGAGACAGAGACAGAGACAGAGACAGAGACAGAGACAGAGACAGAGACAGAGACAGAGACAGAGACAGAGACAGAGACAGAGACAGAGACAGAGACAGAGACAGAGACAGAGACAGAGACAGAGACAGAGACAGAGACAGAGACAGAGACAGAGACAGAGACAGAGACAGAGACAGAGACAGAGACAGAGACAGAGACAGAGACAGAGACACAGACAGAGATAGAGACAGAGACAGAGACAGAGACAGAGACAGAGACAGAGACAGAGACAGAGACAGAGACAGAGACAGAGACAGAGACAGAGACAGAGACAGAGACAGAGACAGAGACAGGGGGATGACACAGTTTATTAGGTACTGCTCTGCTGGGCTATCTTATCCCGGCAGTTCACGATCCGAAAGAAAATACGGCAATATTCTCACACACGGTCATCATTCATAGTCATTTTACCAACCCTATTCATTTACCTGCTCTATAGGAGGCAGCACTATTGTATATGTCCAGATTCACTGAATCTACGCTTTTCCGATGGTCAATCAGGAGGCTCACCTGCTCTAGGATGCGCGGCAGCACTACAGTCTTGTACATGTCCAGATTCACCCCCTCCAGCTGACTCAGCAGATGCAGATTCTTGCCCACCTGCAGTGGGCAGACGAGGACGAGAAGGGCGAGTGGAGAAGGAGAGGTTCAGAAGAAGAAGAAGAAGAAGAAAAAAAAAGGTACAGTAAATTACACTGGGAATTGGCAGACGCGACTTCTGAGACACCCTAAAACAAAAAATAGGGTGGTAAATTACATATATGGTTTGCAGAAGCAACTTTTGAGGATGCTCAAAAGATACAAAGAACGGTAAGGTAAATCACCTCAAGGGCAAAAGAGCAAATCAGGAGAAGGGAAAAGAGAGTGGAGGCGGGGGTGGCAAAAGAAGGATGGGGGAAAAGGAGAGTGAGAGGGAAGAAACGCGAGGGAGATGTGAATTCAGTGTCGACTCAAAAGGAGAGACGTAATGGAATAGTTGGTGGACTCACCAAGTCTCTGAGCTCTCGCCGCTCCTGCTCGCGCTTCTCCCTCTCGGTGGCAGGCCCCTGGTGCTGCATGCGCACCCACAGCTTGTTCATCTCCGTGAAGTTCTGCAGCAGGAACTCCACTGCATCCACCACTGTGCCACCCTCGCTGCAGATACAGGGGGGACGTGAAGAGGGAAAGGGAAGGCGGGGGGAGGGGAGGGGTGCTTGAAGTTCTGCAGCAGGAACTCCACCACATCCACCACTGTGCCGCCCTCGCTGCAGGGTCACAGACACAGGGGTGGTGATGGGAGAAAAAGAATGGGGAAGGAAGGGAGGTGATGTTTAAGGTTCTGCAGTAGAAACTCGAACTCCACTGCACTGCATCCACCACTGTGCCGCCCTCGGTGCAGATACAGGGGGGTGGCGAAGGGAGAAGGGAGAACCGGAAAGCGCAGGAGATTTCCCAACATAAGCCTACAACAACACAGCCCTTGCATTGCATTGCATTGCACACACCTCACTTAGCATTCCCAGTGAGCACGGCACGGCACGGCACGGCACACACCAAACCCCATTCATCCCTTGTTGTACCGTGTCAGGTTCCGTACATACCCCTTCGTATTTGGAACCCGTGTCAGGAAACTTGTCTCTGGAGCACTGAGTGAGGTGCACTCTCAGGAAGAGCCCTCGAATGAGGTGCTGCTCGCCCTTGCACACCTCACCTTCCCACGTCAAGTCCCATTCACCCGTTGTTGCACACGTACCCGTCATACTCCGACCCAGTGTCAGGCAATTTATCTCGGCTGCACTGGGTGAGGTGCGCCCTCAGGAACAGCCCGCGGATGGGGTGCTGCACGCCCTTGCACACCTCACCTTCCCACTCCAAACCACATTCACCCCTTGTTGTACACGTACGTACGTACCCTTCGTATTCGGAACCTGTGTCAGGCAACTTATCGCGGCTGCACTGGGTGAGGTGCGCCCTCAGGAACAGCCCGCGGATGGGGTGCTGCACGCCCTTGCACACCTCGCTCAGGTCGCTGAGCACCTCCTTAGCCGGTCCCTCCTTGCTGCGAATGTACACTGCCCCTACCGTGCACAGGAGATACCTGGGCCACCGGAGGGAAGAATTGGGGGAAAGTGGGGGGGGGGGGGGGTCGGGGAGGAGGAAAGCAGAGTTCTAAAACATCTCGAAACTCACAGCGCGCATGTAAACTCTTCCCACCAAGGCTTCCTTGACTCTCGAATGAATTCCGTTCCATTCATTGACTGCGGAGTCCGACGTTAAAAAAAAAAAAAAAAAAAAAAAAAAAAAAAAAACACACACACACACACACACACACACAAACAAATAACAAAGGAACTCACAGCCTTGGCACGATGTTGCCGGCGTGCTGCACGAGCTCATAGAGGTCCACACAGCTGCGACCGCGCATCTTGTGCTCGTCCCAGAAGAACGCCTCCAGGTTCTGCAGCTCGCCACACACCACTATGTCTGCCATGCCATGCACGCAGGGTTGGGGAACAGTGCGGATGCGGTGGACTTTGAGGCGCCTTAGAATGGGCAGTTTGAGCGTGCTCGTCCCACTCATCCCAGAAGAACGCCTCTAGGTTCTGCAGCTCGCCACACACCACTATGTCTGCCACGTAAAAAAGCGGGCATGGGCGCATGGACGCATGGTGGAGTGGAGTCATTGCTGAGAGTTGTCAAAAAAGGGAAGCATCACACACACGTTTGCTAGGCATGGTCAAGGCGTGGTGGGAACGAATGTGGAAACGAAATGATTGACTCGGTACTAAAGAAGTCGGGACCAATAAACACTGCGGTTTTATAGACATCAGTACTGAAGGAACCAGCACTGCACACGCAGTACGTACAGAGCTCGTAGTATTTCTGTGGTGCGAGCTTGGAGGTGCGGAGCTCAGAAAGCATTTGCGCTGAGTACTTGAGGGCCTCTCGTAGGTTGCCCGAGTCCTGAGAGTCAGCGAAGGCAGGCAGAGGAGGTGGCTGTTAGTCATTAGAGGGCAAGATAGAGGATAGAAGAGCATCTGTGCGGAGTACTTGAGGGCCTCTCGTAGATTACCCAAGTCCTGAGAATCAGTGAAGCAAGTGAAGGAAGGCAGGGGGAGGTGGTTGATGGTGTTAGGATAGGAAGGGGAAAAGGAGCATCTGTGCGGAAACATGAGAGGGGCTGCTTGACAGCGTTGAGTGAGTCCGCCAGCCATCTCTGACATTACTATTTTAATTCAAAGATTGACTTGTGGTACGGGGTTCAAGAGTGGACTCACGAGTGCTCGGCGCATGTAGAAGGCCTGCTGCTTGACAACGTTGAGAGCATCCGCCAGCCATGAAGGATTGACATGACTCACTTGAGAGTTTGACTTGTGGTGAATCGCTCAACAGTGAACAGTTGACTCACGAGAGCTCGGCGCATGTAGAAGGCCTGCTGCTTGACCACGTTGAGTGCATCCGCCAGCCATTTCTCCTGCTCCTCTGCTGCACTCAGCTTCACCTCCACCACCTGAGAGACACACGGGGACAAAAAAAAAAGAAGAGATTGTACGGAAACGGAATAGATTGTAGAGTAGAGCGCCCGCTGTTATAGCTGACGACATTGAGAGTTTGGGCTTTGTAGTATCGGCCAGCCATTCCCCCTGCTCCTCCGCTGCGCTCAGCTTCACATCCATCCACCTGAGAGGCCCACGGAGACGGAATGACGTGTAACGGAGGCACAAGAGCGAGCGCAGAAACGACGCCGATTCAAAAGGTGCACGAAAGAGTCGAGCATGAGAAGATGCCGAACCAACGACCGACGGATGGCTTTTGAGGCGCCTCAAAATCCGCGTGTAGTGAGGTGCATTTTGAGGCGCCTCAAAATCCGCGTGTAGTGAGGTGCATTTTGAGGCGCCTCAAAATGCACCTCAAGAGGCACAATAGCGAACGCAGAAACGACGCCGATTCAAAAGGTGCACGAAAGAGTCGAGCATGAGAAGATGCCGAACCAACGACCGACGGATGGCGCGAATGGCGAGACTGAACAGCAACAAATGAAAGCTGTTGTGAGTGAGCGAAGGCACGCCGTTTCTCTCTGACTTGATGCTTGATTCAATCACAAGAATCGGGGCTCTCAGGGGGACTCGATTCACAGGTAGTAGTTACTAGTTTTGAGACCAGATGTCGCACGACAGCTACTGCGAGTTCTGAGACGACTCAGAACGAGTCGTACGGAGATCAAATGACCAGATAACACTAATCGACGGTTTGCTGGCCTAGCCAATCCCACTGACGTCCAATCGCACCTTGTTCACCATGAGCGCGACTCGGGTTACGCGGGAGCTCGGTCGATTGGTCAACAGCCAAACTGACGGAAACGCGGCGGTTAGACGTACGGACTAAAAATAGACCGCGAGAAACTGATAACGAATCGGCGAAGGAAAGGCGACTCGGGAACGAGGTGTGATAGAAGAACACAAACTACTATACCACTCCAGCCCCCTAAAAATCGACGCTCGTTTTCTATGTTAGCGACTCGGTATCTGGATCAAGCAGCGTAAAATGCTAGGATCCAGTCGCAAGTGAGAGGCTAACACTGACAGAGATTCATACCCAGCCAAGACAGGAAATGGCGGTGAAGTGCTGGGAGTCTGGGCCGGAGTTACCGAGGCTAAACCAGTTCTGAGCCCGTTTCCTCAAAGAGTGATGTCAATTCGGGTACAGCTCAAACTGGCACCAATCTGGAAAACTGGCACAAATTTGGAAGCCAAAAATATGACACTGACTGGTTGGAGTTGATACCAAAATGATCCGAAGAATGTCGAGATGGTCTGTGTGTCGCGTTTATAACGAACTGGAACTGCAGTTGTGCTCAGAGAGTAATATCGATTACGCCCGACTTCCAGCATCAGTGGAGTTCCAGCATCTGAATCCTTTCCCTCTTCTTCTTACTCGCACGAGGAGGTTAAAACGCGTACATCCCGTGATTTGAAGTTGTGTCAGCGCTTGGCGCCAAAACTTCAACGCGCTGCGACTGAGGCCGGATCATGGCCGCTGCACGGGTAAGGCGGCTTTCCTTTCATAGCCACTCCCGTTCGTTGTCTCCCGTCGTCTCCAGAACGATACTTCATAGCCTCGCGTGGCTCTTCACATAACAATGGTTCGCCACTTTTTGCGGACTTTATGAAACCCTAATCCTGGCAATTCTTCCCTTTCGGGGTTTTTTCCTCAAATTACCACTCGGTTTCCGAATCCTGCTTCTGAGACATTCGCGCTTTGACCGATCTTGATAGGGCACTGCTGTCAGCGTTCCAGAACCTTTCATGCCGTATTATGAGTAAATCAATCCTTTCTCATCGCCATGCACGATTATCATCCCACTTTAGCACCCCCCACCACGTGGATTCATCACCCCCGTAGTCCGTGAGGAGGGTTATCTTGAACAATCTCTTAGTTTTATTCTTTATCCCCGTTACCCCCCTCCCCATCCACCCTCTCCTCAATTCCCAAACCCCCGGAACCCCCTCCCCTCCCCCTCCCCCCCCCCCCCCTCCCCGTTCCCCCCTCACCACTCCACTCACTTCCAACCACCCGCTCCCGCCATTTCCCCATCCCCAGCGCGCGTTCGCCGGTCTGAAGCCAGAAAAGGTATCTGGGTGGCGAGTATTCGACGCTAAGGACCAGGTATGCTGTCACGGCTTGGGTACGCTAATGATATGCGCATAGGGCCAAGTCATCCCTGTATGAAGCTTGGTTGCCTTGCCGCCAGCCTTGCAGTGGTGCTTTTAGGAAAGGACAAGCCCATCTATGCTCCTTGCTGCGTGCATGCGTCCATACTCCACCTATTCCCATTCACTCCCTGCCTTCCCACCTCTCGGATGTCTACCTCTCCTCCTCCCTGCTCCTCCCTGCCTCCCTGCCATGCAGGTGCTTGGTCGCCTGGCCTCACGGCTGTCAGTGGTGCTGCAGGGGAAGGACAAGCCCATCTACTCGCCCAGCATTGACAAGGGCGACGTGTGCATTGTAGTGAACGCAGGTTGGTAACCCTCAGTTAATAATATCAAGGGGCTAGTTACCCCTTATGCAGGGGAAGGACAAGCCCCTCTATTCGCCCAGCATTGACAAGGGCGACGTGTGCATTGTAGTGAACGCAGGTTGGTAACCCTCAGTTAATAATATCAAGGGGCTAGTTACCCCTTATGCAGGGGAAGGACAAGCCCCTCTATTCGCCCAGCATTGACAAGGGCGACGTGTGCATTGTAGTGAATGCAGGTTAGTAACCCTTAGTTAATAATATCTAGGGGCTAGTAACCCGTTATGCAGGGGAAGGACAAGCCCATCTACTCGCCCAGCATTGACAAGGGCGACGTCTGCATTGTGGTCAATGCAGGTTAGTAACCCTTTTGTAGCCTATGCTTAGAGGTTATTACTCCCTTACGCAAACATATACATGCAGCTTTGCCATGGCCAACTGTCACAAGTGAGATGTGTACGCACTGTCACGAGTTTGTCTACTTTTGAGTTGACTCATACGTTATGTCTGGTTGTTGGGTTGCATGTGATGGTCGTCCATGCATGAATCCATGTGTGAATGTATGTAATTATGTATGGGTCCATGCATGTATTCATGTGTGTGTGATGCATGTATCCATGTCTTGTGCGCCTATAAATTCCTGTGTGCATGTGTACCTGATTCTGTACAGATAAGATTGCAGTGACGGGTGACAAGATACGGCAGAAGACATACAGATGGCACACAGGGTGAGTGGGCGGCACACAGGGCAGCGTACAAGGTGAGTTGGGCGGCACACAGGGTGAGTTGGGCGGCACACAGGGTGAGACGGATGGAGCACATAAGGTATTGGCGTTTGGATGGATCCATGCAAGTTCATCGGTCAGGTTCGGACTCAGAGCGCGCAACTCTCAACGACCAAATGCCATTTCTCAAGGACCCTGAGTGCCATTTCTATGTACGTCACATCCACCCACTCATGCACCGACTGACGCATCTCGTGAGCACGTATGCATCTTTGCATGCCCCTGCATGCATGCATGCATGCATGCATTCATGCAGGATCACAGGTACATCAAATGGCAAAGGATGGTTGGTTACACGCATGTGCACGTCTCCATCATTCTCCCTTCCATACACAAACGCATACGCGTACATTGGAGGGCTGAAGGAGCGAACGCTCAAGGACCAAATGGCAATGCTCTGCATGACACATGCATGATGTATCCACCCCCCTTGCCTGTGTGTATGCACGTCCGTCCCCAGGTACATCGGAGGTCTAAAGGAGCGAACCCTCAAGGATCAGATGGCAAAGGATCCCAAGGAGGTCATTCGCAAAGCAGTGCTGCGCATGCTGCCCCGCAACCGACTCGTGGATGTGAGTGGCCTTTTTTTTTCCAACTCAAAAAACAGATTTTGCACTCGCTTCCCTGCAATTGACTCATGGATGTGAGTTGCTGCATATGGGAATTTTTTGGGTGGCAGGTTGACAGGTTGATGGGAGTTTCCTTATTTTCAGGGTCACAGTAAGTTGCCTCACCCGTTCGAGAACACACTTGTAATGGAGGAGGCAGGGCCTTCACATTCTCTCTTTCTCCCCCCGTCCTGTCCCCCCAGCCACGAATGACGAAGCTGAGGATATTCGAGGGGGGCAGTCACCCATTCGAGGACATTCCTGCGAGGGAGGAGGCGAAGCCTGCCCAGCTCCCTCACCTGCTCCCACCTCCCAGAACCGTACTCTACCCCCAACCATCACTCTTCCTTCTGCATGCCCCCCCTTCCCCCCAGCCGCGCATGACGAAGCTGAGAATATTTGAGGGGGACAGCCACCCATTCGGGGACATGCCTGTGAGGGAAGAGACAATGCCGCTAAGAAATGTGAGGGAGATGCGACCCAGGGAGAGGCGCGCTGCTGATAAAGCCGCTCGTGCTGCTGCTGCCAAGGGCCTAGGTTCAACTGAGCAAGCAGGAGCAGCAGGGGAAGCGTAGGCTGTTGAGTCAGACTCGTGGGTATGGCTTTAGGGAATGTGAGAGAGATGTGGCTCAGGGAGAGGCGCGCTGCTGATAAAGCTGGCCGCGCTGCTGATAAAGCTGGCCGCGCTGCTGCTGCCAAAGGGGCAAAGTTCGGTTGAGCAAGAAGCAGTGGTGGGGTACCTAAGTGCAGGCTTACTGTTCTCTTCAATGAGACGTGTTTGAACTTTTAGGTAGAGCTTTGTGTCACAACATGTTTCGCTATAATACAGTACAGTACCACTGAAAGAGAAAGCAGTGCCTTGAGGGAGGCCACTCGCTAATAGAAATGGTTGCTTGCTAGTGACATCGTAGAATGGTTTGTTGTACACCTCTACCCCCTTGAAAGTGAACATTTGTGGTTTCATACGGTACCTGATAGCATAGCAGCACAGCACGTACCGTATGTGAAGAACCATAAGAAGCCAAGTGCATATACCGGTACCGTACCTTAGCACCAGCTCTATAGGGATGTGGTGTAGCATCCAGGGGTTCCTGGTGGGAGCCAGCCAGTATGAGTGCATGGGTTTCACAAATATGCACCAATATGCACCAATATGCACTCAAGCTGGGACTAACTTTGACTTGTTTCAATCCTAGTGTGTGCTCTTACATTTGAAATATGACTACAGTAGTGTTCTCCAACTATCCCAATGCTTGCTACCCACAGGCTAGTTGTACTCAATATAAAATGAGGCTACCAATGCTGCCGGTATGCACAACAACACTCAAGTGAAATACACAGCTAATTGTCCTGACCCAAACCAGTAGTTTCCTCCATAATCCCAAGTCTCGGGCGTGCTTTCCCCCCAATTCACCACTCTGAACGGACCCTTCAGGAAATACACCCGAAAATACGAGTCACCCCAGGAGTGTGCTACCTGGACCGTGGCGGAAAATGGTTCACCGTCGTACACGGAGTGCTCGGACTTGATCACCATCACATTGTAACCCTCGTTCACGAAAATAATCACCAGAATTTTCGCAACCTCAGAGTCCTCCCAGCCTTCGACCACGCCCAGGTTCCCTGAAGCCACTGTATCCACCGTCACCCCCTCCCAGCTCATCACCTCCTGCTCCACCCTGCGCGGAGTTCCCAAGGCAGATCCGGCGGTGACGGCGGTTGCTGCGGTGGAGGATGACGTCTGCACCATGGGCCGTGCTGCGCTGGCGCTGGTGACGGCGAGGAGCACGAGGAGGGAGAGAGGCAGGAGCAGCTTGCGCGCTGCGCGCGGCCACGAGTTACTCGCCATCGTCGAGATGCCTTGGGATCGTCGCAGTAAATGCCGTACGGATGAGAGCAGGCCCGTTAATAGTGCTAAGGAAAAAGCCGTTAAAAGGAAAGCCGGTTGAATTTGCAATGATGGAAAAAGCAGTTGTTGAAGAGCTGATGGAAAACGAAATCTTTAACATCTGATTTATGGATCTCCGTTTTCAAGCCTAAATCTGACAGCAGCTCACTATCTGCTCGTGCCGCCATAGCCAGAGGGATGTGTTTCGGATTCAGCCGCGAAGCACGCGTGAAGGTTGTCACTTCCATGGCAGGTGTGAACTGGAAGCTCGAGCGTAGAAGGCACGCGAGCGTAGAAGGCAACGCTAGGTCACGGGAAATAAAACTGGTACGGACTGACTTCAACAGTTGGCAAAGGAGGAGGAGGCGAGTGGAAAGCAGTCGGGAGGGACCGCAGCGCTGCTGGCGACTTTGACGATCTTCGTGAACTCGTGTAACACACGTAGCTGTACAGCTCGAAGGGTGGTCGCAGCCGCTGCGATTCGCAAAAGGTACCGAACACAATGGTTTGGCGAGAGCCCTGGGATAAGGGCGTGGAACACCTCGAGTTTTTCAAAACGAACGGTACGGTTCGGATGGGTCCGCTCGGATGAGTACTGGTCTGAAACACACTAAAACTTACTTCAGCGTACCGTTTACAAAATTTACCATTTTCAAATTGTGTGGCCTAAAATCTATCTTAACAGCCTCTGATTGGCTTACTCATCCTCCACTCGCTTCCTCCTAATGGCGTCTGCTCGGAGTGTAGCCGAATTCACGATGTATGAGTAAGTTTTTTAGACGTCTCAAAAACGCTTTTTCCAATGGCGTGCGAGGACCAGAAGTGGAGCCGAAATCGTGACGACAGTTACCACTCGACCCAGCTTGCGAGATCGAGCCGTAATCGCACGCGTGGCGCAGAGCGACCAGCCTCTCATGCGACCGAGCGACCAGCCTCTCATGCGACCGAGCGACCAGCCTCTGGTGCGACCGAGCGACCAACCTATCATGCGACCGAGCGACCAACCTATCATGCGACTGCAGCAGACAGTTCCAGGTTCGCGTTTGCGACGAATGAAACAGGAACCTTACCGAACAGGAGCGAGCGCGAGCGCGAGAGGGAGGGTCAACTATACGCGTCTGTTACTGCTTCTCTTCCACCGGTTAGGTTGAATGCGGAGCAGTCGGGTGGACTGGTGCGCCGGGGAGTGGAAGGCGTAGAAGACGGAGCGGCTCGTGCTGCGTCAGCTGGGCTGAACGAGAAATGGCTCATGGCAGCGCTGATGGCGGAGGGATTGAATGCGGTTCAGTCAGGTGCAATAGAGCAAGTGCAAGAAGGTGGAGAGGGATTGAGTGCGGTGCAGTCAGGTGGAACCGAGCGATGGCTTATGGCTGCAGTGATGGCGGAGGGATTGGCTGCTCCGATTGGTTCCTTGGGTTGCGAATCTGGACTGCCGGTTCTAGGTGGTCAACACGGTCAACACGGTCGACGCAATCCAGATTTGAGGAGTCAATGCAATCAACGCAGTCCAGTGTTGGAGAGTCAACGCGGTCAACACAGTCCAGCATTGGAAGGTCAACATGGTCAACGCAGTCCAAGTAGTCACGTCGTGGCCATGGGCCTGGGCCAGACTCACGTTCCCCCTCCCACACACGCTGCCCCATCTCCCTTGCACGCTCGTTCCCACACTCTCCCTCACCCTCTCACTCCTCCATCCACCCCTTCTTGTCTTTCCACAACCACAGCAATCCATGCAAAGCCTAGTTCCAGTCAGCCTTTTGAGGCTCTTAAGTTCACAAACCCTAATTCCACTCAACCCATTTTCAGAAATCCCTCCAACTCCACGAACCGTCCATTTAACCATCCGTCCATCCATTCATCTAACCATCCATCCAACCCTCCATCCAACCGTCCATTCAACCCTTCATCCAACCCTCCATCCAACCAGCCTTTGAAAGAACCCCTTTCGCACGCTCCCCCTGATCACCGTATATCCCTCAGCCCGTTACATCCTCGTGACAGTAAAGAAGGTGGCAGGCTTGGTGATGACAGGCTCGGGATGGACAGGCTCGGCACGGACAGGCTTGGCATGGAAAGGCTTGGCAGGGGCAGGCTCGGCCAGGAGAGGCAGCACAATGAGAGTGAGGAGCCGAGGCTCGAGGGTAACCCATCAGCCCATTGTGGCTCTACTTCCTCTTGTGTGTCGGCTGCTATTGGTGCACAGCGGTATGATGTCCCCATGACTGCTGCACGCCCACGTGATATTCCCATGGGTACACACCCACGTGGTACCCCCATGGGTACACACCCACGTGGTCGTGGTTCCCCCATGGCCATGGGTGCAGCTGCACATGTAAGGGGTGGGCATGGTAATAGTGATGAAACCAGAGGTGATACAACCGAGTGTGGGAGAAACGAGGGAGACTTGAAGGCTTGTGATACAAGAGGGGCCCGCGGTGATGCTGAGGAGGATGTGACTGCAGACCAAGTGCCTCTGCCCAACCATCCAGGTGAGATAGCTTGCCATTTTCGTTATAAGCACATGCCAGTCTCGGTCTATTCTCCTGTGGTTTCACTTGAAGCAGACACGGACTCAGGGCCAATGTATCTGTAAAATCAGTCTTGGCAATAGTAAGCTTGCTGCTCGGTCATTGCAGGGAGTTTTTGAGAATTCTCAAAGGCTGCAAAGTGAGCTTGCAAATTCTTGGCAATAGTGAGCTTGCAAATTCTTGGCAATAGTGAGCTTGCTGCTTGGTCGTTCTCCCCCAGGCTGGCTCACGCCCAAGAGGCACAAGACTCTCAAGGAGGAGTTGCTTAAGCTCAAGCAGCCGATGGAGCGAGAGTATGAGGTGGGGAGGGCGCCTCCGTGCCTCCATGCCTCCAGTCTGTGTTATTTGCTGCTACGTGCTGTTCTTTCTCCCCCTCTCAGGCTGGCTCACCACGAAGAGGCGCAAGAGCTGCAAGGAGGAGCTGATGGAGCTAGAACTGGCAATGGAGCGAGAGAGTATGAGGCGGGGAAGGATGTTGCTTACTTGACTCCATGCTTCCCTCCATGCCATGTCTTTGTGCCTTTCTGGATGTCATTCTTTCAGGCTGGCTCACCACCAAGAGGCGCAAGACCCTCAAGGAGGAGTTGATAGAGGTTGAGCTGGCAATGGAGCGAGAGTATGAGGCGGGGAAGAGGCAGCAAAAGGGAGCGGGGGGAGAGAGGGAAGAGGGCAACGCACACAATAAGATGAAGAGGGAAAGAAACTGGGAGTCAGGGAGTGAAGGAGGGAGGGCAAGTGTGGAAGTACAAGAAAGGGGAGAGAGAGGAGGGATGAGGGACGGAGGGGCAGGGGTTGAGGGGGAGGTGATAGATGAAGAGGAGGAGGTGGAGGAGAGGGAGTGGAGGGAGAGGGGAGAGAGGGGAGAGTTGCGGCAGTCTGGTGGTGATACTGTGGGGGACATGGAGAGGGAGATGGAGAGGGAAAGGGAGAGGGAGAGAAGGGAGAGAGAGAGGGAGAGGGAGACAGAACGAGAGCGTGAGCAGGAGAGGGAATGGGCAAGGGAGGTGGAGAGGGAGAGGCAAAGGGAATGGCAAACCCAGTGGCGGCAGCAACAGGAGCAGGAGGAACAGGAGGAGCAGCAGAGGCGGCAGCGTCGGCGGCACTTGCGGCGGGGAGGGAGAGCTGAGGCGTTTGGGCTTGAAGAGGACGATTTCATTGACCAGGTGTGTTGTCAGGTTGGGATAAGTTCTGAGAGTTCTCAAAAGAAATCACGGCAGGGATGGGGAGTTGAGGCGTTTGGGCTTGACCAGGTGCTGTTGAATTGCTGCACCCTTCCTTACCCCATCAGTTCGTATTTTCATCCACTGCTGCGTCACTTCTCCCTCATACCCTCCTTTCCCCCACACCCCCCCCTCCCCTCCCCTTCCCCTGTGCTCCCCCACCCAAACTCCCAACACCCCCTCCCCCCCCTTCCCCTGTGCTCCCCCTCTCTGCCCTCGCTCCCTCTCTCCCTCTCTCTCCCTCTCCCGTTCCACCTCCTCCATTCCTTGTTACCGTACCCTCCTTCCTATGCGCAACTTTTCGAAAGCATGCTCCTCTTAACACATTGCGCTTATCACTTTTTTGTTCTTGTGGACAGATGGTCCCAGAGGATTGATCACCTGACAATGGGCACACGATTAGAAACAATAAGTACCGGTAATGAATCGGGGTCATCTGGTTGTCCTAGATGAGAATGAAAATCTGTTTTGCCTGCTGCTGCGTTTCGGTGACTTGAAATTCGATTATTTTTTTAATGTGGTGGTGCTTGTTCAACACATCTCAAAGACAAGTGTGGCGAATTGTAGAGAAAGTAGATTTCACAAAGTACTTTTATCTCGCTGCAGTAAGCCAGTCTCAACAGTTTGAAGCAACCGTACGCGTTAACGAGGCAACTACTACCCTTCCAAAACCTTGAGGCTGCCGTAGTTTTGAAGCAACACCACACCACTCAAGCTAATCATTAGTACGTTGGTGGTAAGGCCGACCACGCGCGTCGCGATAGCACGTGCAAGCACACTTGAAGGCTGGCAGCTAATGAAAGCTTAATTGCGGATATCCGATCGCCGTTACGCACGCCGTCCCAGTTTTCGGTCTCCTGACGGAGTTCGTTAAACGCTAAGAGAGCTGTCGTTAGTTCGCTTCTTTCCCCACGCGATCGTTATCGCAGTTCCATCGTCGCGCGACTGCTCAACCATCGCGAGGCTGCTAAGCCGTCGCAGTGCTTTATAGAAAACGTCGCGAGGCTCTTAACCGCAGCTGCCGCATCGATCGCAACCTTAGTTTCAGTCGCTTCGAAAAGGGATCGAAGCTACAGCAGCCGCAGCTGTTTCGTAGAAAAACCCTTCAGACTGCATCCGCCTGGCGCGAGGTTGCCTGGGTGACTTCTGGGTCGACTCGGTTCGCTGTACCCGCACTGCATTTCCCGGCCGCGAGAGCTAGATCGCGAGAGTGTGACTAGAGTGTGACGAGAGTGTTACGAGAGTGTGACGCCGTAAAAGAACACGTGGCGAGGGTGACGTGGCGAGCACGAGGTCGCGATGGTGTGGTGCAGCTACTGCGGGCGCGACCAGCAGGCGGAGGTCGACGAGGCCAATGGCTTCTCGTACGTTCCTTCATTCTTGCGCTCTCCACTCTGCCCATTTGCGTGTATCTCTCCTCGCCTTTCTGCCAGTCTCTGTTGAATGTTGAGTCGACTTAAAGCGCGACCAGCAGGCGGAGGTCGACGAGGCCAATGGCTTCTCGTACGTTCCTTCCTTCCTGCGCATCTATTGAGGCGCTTCAAGGTTCAAACAATCTGATCCTTCTTCCTGCGAATTTTTAGTTTGTTGGTTCACAATTCGCGTCCACGCGCTCCCACCTTAACCAACCCACGGCTCATGTGCTCCCTTCTCCGCCTGCTTGTGTGCCCGCCCTTCTGTCGGACTTGCTGCCTGTCTTTCTCCCCACTACCACAGCTGCTGCACGGGGTGTGGGCGAGTGCTGGACGATACCGTCTACTCGTCCGACACAGTCTTCATGAAACAATCCGATGGCTCTGTAAGCTGAGCGAGAAACGCAATAACGAGTACAGGTCATGATTATGAGACGGAATGATTCAGTGTCTCGCGCCTTCTCCCTGGTCTTTCATTCCCCAACCCACCAATCTGCTTTTAAAGCAATCTTCCTCACTTATTCATCTATTGCCCTGTGTTTTTCGCCCCTTCTATTTCCCTCTGTTTCAGAGCATGGCCATGGGAAGCTTCGTGGCAGATGCAGGAGGAGGCGGGCCGGTGGTGCGACTGGGAGGAGCCAGGGGGTTCGCCTTTGGGGGCTCGTCAGAGTCACATGAGCGCACAGTCATGAGAGGTGGGTGTGATGCAAACGGATGTTGTTTCAACCTCCCACTCCTCTTCCTTCACCCCTTCACTCACCTCCTCCACTGCTATCCCATTCCTCTCTACCCCTTGCTGCTGCCACTTGCTTGAGCAGAACAGAGCTTACCCCGCCAACCCAATCCCCTGACTCCCCAACCAATCACGTTCTCTCTAACCCCCCTTGCAGGGCGCAATGAGATTGCAGAGATAGCAGAGCGGCTGGCCGTGCGACCTCGAGAAGACATGATAGGGTCGGCGCACCGGCTGTACCAGGTACTGAACCCGAAATTATTGTAAACCCTCGTAAGCCCTCATAAACCCTCATTAGCCTCATAAGCTCTCGTAAAACCTCATTAGCCTCATAAGCTCTCGTAAACTCTCATTAGCCTCGTAAGCTCTCGTAAACCCTCATTAGCCCTCATAAACCCTCTGAAACATTGAGCCCTGAAACAGCTTGTGCAGAAAATCAGCAGGCATGGGAGCATGCATGTCCAGTGCACCACACCACCACACATGCCACACACACATATATATGCACGCGCGCTCCAATGCACATGTCCACATGCATACACTTAGACGTCCTCCCCATTCCCCGTCTACTTCTGCTCCGCTTTTCCTAATCCTTAACCCCCCTTTGACTGCCCCCAGCTGGCTCTGAATCGCAACTTCACACGAGGAAGGCGAGTAGCGCAGGTGGCAGCGGCGTGCCTCTACCTTGCGTGCAGGTGAGCTCGCGTGCCTGAACAGGTGCCTGAACAAGGTGAAATATATATTTCTTGGTTTGACTGGTGCAGGTGGCAGCTGCATGCCTCTACCTTGCCAGCCGGTGGGCTTGCATCTGATGCTGCTGCAGTTTTTTCTTGAGTTGATTCGAGTCTGGGTTTATTCTCCTCGATGGCGATCACTTTTGAGATTCCTAATTGTTACCCTGTTTTAGGCGCCTGCAGTGATCTATTGACGCTCCTCAAGAATCACCTTTTGAGATGCCTCAGTTCCGTTGTATCATGTCATGCAACAAGTTAACGTCAAAGCCCAAATCTCTTGCCACATTTTCATCGACTACAATTCTCGAGTCGATCCACACATTTCTAGTCTACTAAATAATTGTCTTGTTCTGTGCTATGCCACTTATCCACTTATACTCGCTGGCAGGCAGGAGAAGAAGCCCTTTCTGCTGATCGACTTTGCTGACTTGCTGCAGATCAACGTGTAAGTGTGCCTCTCTCTCCACCCTCTCATCACCCTCTCACCACCCTCTCACCACCTTCTCATATCCTAGTTTTTAGACCAGTGCGTCTCAAGCCTCTTCACGTCACCCCCTGAACGACCCCTAATGTTTTCCCTCCCCTCTCTCTCATTTCACTCTCTCAGGTATGTACTAGGGGCGGTGTATCTGCAGCTGCTGCTGGTGCTGCGACTGGAGAACCACGAGCCGCTACAGGCACCACTGGACCCCTCTCTCTTCATCCACCGATTCGCCGACCGTAAGCGTTTCTCTCCTCTTTCGCTGGTTTCACTTCTCCATCTATGTACTGGGGTGGGGCACTGTTGGTGCTGCGACTGGAGAACCACGAGCCGTTACAAGCACCTTTGGAACCTTCCCTCTTCATCCACCAATTCGCCGACCGTAAGTGTGCTCCTGAGTCGCACCAAGAGTCATCCCGCTACCCGCACCACTGATTCAATCCCTCTTCATCCACCAATCCGCCGACCTTAAGTGTGCGTCTGAGTTGACTCAAAAGCAGGAAACCCCTGCGGACAGGCACCACTGGACCCTTCCCTCTTCATCCACCGGTTCACTGACCGTAAGTGTGGTCTGTTATAGCGTAGCGGCAATTCCTGTACCACTAATCACGCACCCTCATCCGATGACTGGTACCAGTCAGCACCCTCACACAAGCATCTGGTATTTGCACTCCACATTAGCACCGCCAACCTCATGACACTGTATGCAGAAATATTGGAATGTCGTGTTTCTTATGCTTTCCAGTGGTATTGTACTGCCCCAATGAACTTATGTAAGTTTATTGATGCAGTCAGTCTTGTTTCTAATGTGGTGCCCCAGCAGTCTGGGGTTCGATTCCCGCTGAGGGCTAATGTGCACTCTACCAGATGTCACCAACTCCCAGTGTGGGAGTGTGCATTTGTATGGTCCGCAATGGTCTAATCCAAGTGATTCTCTTCCTGTTCTACAATCAACATTTTCAGTTTGTTGTATTGTGCGGTGTGGCATGGCATGGGCATGGGTGTGGCATGGGTATGAGCATGGGTATTGCATGTGCATGGGATGCGCACCGGGTATGGGCATTCTTTTGCACAATACCAGGCCTCAACTTTGGGCGCAAGATGCATGCAGTGGCCAACACGGCTCTGCGCCTTGTTGCCTCCATGAAGCGCGATTGGATCCAGGTGAGGGGGGGGTGAAGGGGTTGGGAGGGGAGGGGAGGGGAGGGAAGGGGTAGGGCGGAAAGGGAAAGGGGTGCATGGTACTGTTCTGTGGAAGCTCAAGAGGCATGCAGTGGCCAGCACGGCTCTGCGCCTCGTTGCCTCCATGAAGCGCGACTGGATCCAGGTGAGGGGAGGGGGGAGAAGGGGGTGAATGTAGGGAACGTGAGGTTTTTTTTTTTTTCCATGCCATCATACTTTTCTAAATAACGAATTAGGTACAAGCGAGTCGTGGAGCTCAATTCTACAATTTCTGGATATCATCCCTCTTCTCTCTCCATCACCCCAGCATTCCTATTGAGGATTGAACCCTGGACCTCCGCTATGACATTAGAAGAGCTAACCAACTAGAACATGATGAGTGTCTGCTAAAATCGATGCAATACCTTGAGAACTCTGCTTCACAACACACCATTCGCCCACCCATTTTCCCGCATCTCTACTCTACGGCCTTCCCTCCCGACCTCCCTTCTAGACGAGTTGCAAGCCCAGCGGGGTGTGTGGGGCGGGGGAACACAGTTCACGGTCACCCCCTCTTTCTTTCCACTACACACACGTCTACATCCCTTCCGTCTCTCTCCCCACCTCCCATGATCCCCTTCAGACCGGTCGCAAGCCCAATGGGGTGTGTGGGGCGGCGCTGCTGATAGCTGCACACATTCACGGCTTTGAGCGATCCAAGTCGGATGTGGTGGGTTTGGGGACGGATGGTGTGCGGATGGGTGGGTGTGTGGAGAGATGTGTGGGTGGATGGGTGGTGATTGCTGGGCGGTTGAGGGGTGTTGTAGTTGCGTTGCCTTCTGATAGCGGCACACATACACGGCTTTGAGCGATCCAAGTCGGAGAGGTGGTTGGGGTGGGGGAGTGGTTGGATAGATGTGTGGCTGGTTGGGAGTGAGTAATGCGGCCGAGTCGAAGTTTTGATGGGGCAATTATGGGTGGATTGAAGAAAGCAAGGTTGTTTTGCACTCTGGGTGCAAGGTACAGGTACTTATGTGCTGGCTAGCTCTAAAAGTGTGTGAGTGTGAGTGTGAGTGTGTGTGTGTGTGTATAGGTGTGTGTGTGTGTGTGTGTGTGTGTGTGAGTGTGTGTGTGTCTGTGTGTGTGAGTGTGTGTGTGTGTGAGCGTGTGTGTGAGCGTGTGTGTTTGCTGCATTTGTGTGTGAGTGTGTGTGTGTGTGTGTGAGTGTGTGTGTCTGTGTGTGTGAGTGTGTGTGTGTGTGTGAGCGTGTGTATGAGCGTGTTTGTGTGTGTGTGTGTGTGTGTGTGTGTATGTGCGCGCGCGTGTGTGTGTGTGTGTGTGATTCTACCTGTTGTGGCTTTACAACTTGCAGTGGGGTGTGCGTATGTAAGTTGTGACTTTACATGGTGGGGTAGGTGGCAGTGGCGCATGTGTGTGAACAGACTGTGCGTCACCACCTGACTTGCACTGCACTGCACTGCACTCTCCCCTACTCTCCCTCGTTCTCTCTTGTGTCTCCCTCCCTCCCTCACGCTGCGTGCAGGTGGCAGTGGTGCATGTGTGTGAGCAGACAGTGCGGCACCGACTGCATGAGTTTGAGGGCACAGAGGCAGGCGGGCTCACTGTAAGTCGGTGACGCACTGCCCCCTCTCCTCTCCCATTTTTTGTTCGCAAGAGTTTGCGGGCACCGAGGCAGGCGGGCTCACTGTAAGTTCCTCCTCTTACGCTCTCTTACGCCCCATGTTTCTTTGAAGGCTGCTTATTGATCACTCCCTATTCTCCAACCTCCCTGCTTCCCCCCCATCCTTTTGTTTTTGGTCTCAGTCACCCTTTTCCACGCACCATGCCAATTTCTCCCTCCTCACTCCATCCTCTACCAAACCCCCTGAATTCCAACTCTTGTACCCACGCGAGATTCTGACATGATGCTGCAGGGTGTTTTTGAGAATTCTCAAAAACATCAAACCCCTTGAACCCCAACTCTTGTACCCAGCCGGTTGATCGAAGTGGGACAAGCTTCTCTTTTCCACCCAGCCGCCTACCAACACGCTCCATGTGATATGCTCCCTCCTCTCTCCCCACCCCTTCTGACCCCTCCAACTTCCTTCCGTCACCTCCCTTTCCCTAGCCTGAGGAATTCGAGGAGAAGGCCAAGGAGTGGGACGAGCTGCTCTTTTCCACCCAGCCGCCCACTCACCCACACGCATGCGCCATGCCATTTGCTTCCTCAATCCTCCCCTTTCTCCCCCCCGACCCCCTCCAAACTCCTTTCAGCCGGAGGAATTCGAAGAGAAGGCCAAGGAGTGGGACGAGCTTCTTTTCTCCACCCAGCCACCCACCCCTGCTCTCGTTGCTCCTGCCTCTTCCCTCGCCCCTGCTGCTGCTGCCCTCGCTACCAAGGGCAAACAGGGGAAGGGGAAAGCAGGGGGAGCAGCAGGGGGAGGGGCGAGGGGAGGCGCAGGGGGTTATGGGGATCCGGGTGGTGGGGAAGATGGGGAGGGGGAGGCGGGGGAGGGGGGAGCGGGGGAGGTGGAGCAGGGGGAAGAGGAGGGGGGAGTGGTGGCGAATGGGGGTGGGGGCGGGGGTGGGGGGGAAGTGGGGGAGGTGTATTTGACTCAGTGCCAGCATAAGGATGCTGGGGCGGCTCATTTTGCACATGGGCTCTGCAGGCCGTGCTATGACATGGTACGGAGCGGTGTAGTGTGGTACCAGTACGGTATGGTATGGTATGGTATGGTATGGTATGGTATGGTATGGTATGGTATGGTACGGTATGGTTTGGTATGGTGTACTGCTACTGATGATACAGTGCCAGCATGACGAGGCTGGGGCGGCTCATTCCTCCCATGGGCTCTGCAGGCCGTGCTATGACATGGTTCGTGCTGTGGCATGAATGTGCTGCGTGTGAGCTGTGCTCTGATATGCACCCCTACCACGCATCATGCCGTGAGGTGTGATTTGAGGCGCCTCAAAATATGTGCTGTGGCATGAATATGCTGCGTGTGAGCTGTTCTCTGATATGTACCCACCACGCGGTAACTTTTGAGTCGACTCAAAAGCCACCTTGCTGCGGCATGACTGTGTTGCGTGTGGGCTGTGTGAAGTGAGGGTGTTTTTGAGACGTCTCAAAAACACCCTCACTTGCTGTGGCATGACTGTGTTGCGTGTGAGCTGTGCTCCGATATGTACCCCTACCACGCATCATGCCGTGAGGTGTGATTTGAGGCGCCTCAAAATATGTGCTGTGGCATGACTGTGCTGCGTGTGAGCTGTGCTCTGATATGTATCCACCACGCATCATGCCATCACATCACATCCCATCCTCCCATCCTCCCTTTCCCCTTTCCCCCAGCTGGCGCGGACGAGCGGAGGTTTGGTAGGGGGAGCCAACCCGCCTGCATGGGGGCGGGGGGAGAGGGAGCAGCGCAAAGCAGAGCTGAGGAGGCGGAGAAGCCGCCTCACTGTGTACAACGTGTTTGGGCAGGAGGAGCGGGAGGAGGGGGATGGATACGGAGAAGGGGAGGAGTGGGGAGTTGGAAGGGAAGTTATGGCTGTTGGCCAGAAGGGGAAGGGTGGAGGTGCGGGTGTGGCGGTGGCGGCAGGGAAAGGGGTGGTTGCTGCGAAAGCGGGAGGGAAGGGAGGGAAAGTGGGGAGGGATGGGGTGTCGAAGCGCGAGAGAGCAAGGCAGAGGATTGAGAAGGTGAGCGCATTTCATCTCTCCAGAGTTCCCTGAACGTAGCTACTTGTTTCAGGATCGCCAAGTGATAAAAGTAGCGTTTTGAGACGTCTCAAAATTCATCACTCCAGAGTTTCCTGCATGTAGCTACTTGTTTCAGGAAGGATCTACGCACGATATTTTTATGTGTTCAATGAATGTTCCTGAAGTCAAGTGGAGAGCTAATCTCATCGTACCACGCTCCATTCCTTTTCATCCCTCTCCACCCCTCCACAACCCTCTCCATCCCACTTGACCGACAGGATCTAGATGCAGCTCTGCACCGAGCTGAAATTGCTCCCCTCGTGGTCCACACGCTTCCAGACTCACTGGGACCTGCCGAACCAGATACCCTAGGCTCGGTCAGGCGTGACGGTCTAGGTCCGGCAGGCATAGATCCGAGCCTGGTGGATGACCCCGATCCAGATTTCTTGGCTGGGGAAGAGGGTGGGATGGGCGGCGGAGGGAGGTTCGGGGGAAGCGTTGGAGAGATTGGGGAGGAGGCGCAGGAGGGGGTGGAAGATGAGGAGGAGGAAGAGGAGGAAGAAGAGGAAGAGGAGGAAGATACTTTGTCGGATATAGAGGATCACGAGGTAACGTTTCATTGGTCACTTCACCAGAAGCCAGTTGCAGTAGCGAAGCAAGCGGTGGTGAGGTGGATCATCCAGTGGAGGAGAAGCATTTCTTTGGCGCCTCAAAACCGTGTGAACTGAGACGTTTTTTGACGCGCCTCAAAACCGTGTGAACTGCGACGATTTTTTAGGCGCCTCAAAACCGTGTGAACTGAGACGATTTTTGAGGCGCCTCAAAACCGTGTGAACTGAGACGATTTTTGAGGCGCCTCAAAACCGTGTGAACTGAGACGATTTTTGAGGCGCCTCAAAACCGTGTGAACTGAGACGATTTTTGAGGTGCCTCAAAACCGTGTGAACTGAGACGATTTTTGAGGCGCCTCAAAACCGCGTGAACTGAGACGATTTTTGAGGCGCCTCAAAACCGCGTGAACTGAGACGATTTTTGAGGCGCCTCAAAACCGCGTGAACTGAGACGATTTTTGAGGCGCCTCAAAACCGCGTGAACTGAGACGATTTTTGAGGCGCCTCAAAACCGCATGAACTGAGACGATTTTTGAGGCGCCTCAAAACCGCGTGAACTGAGACGATTTTTGAGGCGCCTCAAAACCGCGTGAACTGAGACGATTTTTGAGGCGCCTCAAAACCGTGTGAACTGAGACGATTTTTGAGGCGCCTCAAAACCGCGCGAACTGAGACGATTTTTGAGGCGCCTCAAAACCGCGTGAACTGAGACGATTTTTGAGGCGCCTCAAAACCGCGTGAACTGAGACGATTTTTTAGGCGCCTCAAAACCGCGTGAACTGAGACGATTTTTGAGGCGCCTCAAAACCGCGTGAACTGAGACGATTTTTGAGGCGCCTCAAAACCGTGTGAACTGAGACGATTTTTGAGGCGCCTCAAAACCGTGTGAACTGAGACGATTTTTGAGGCGCCTCAAAACCGCGTGAACTGAGACGATTTTTGAGGCGCCTCAAAACCGCGTGAACTGAGACGATTTTTGAGGCGCCTCAAAACCGCGTGAACTGAGACGATTTTTGAGGCGCCTCAAAACCGTGTGAACTGAGACGATTTTTGAGGCGCCTCAAAACCGCGTGAACTGAGACGATTTTTGAGGCGCCTCAAAACCGCGTGAACTGAGACGATTTTTGAGGCGCCTCAAAACCGCGTGAACTGAGACGATTTTTGAGGCGCCTCAAAACCGCGTGAACTGAGACGATTTTTGAGGCGCCTCAAAACCGCGTGAACTGAGACGATTTTTTAGGCGCCTCAAAACCGTGTGAACTGAGACGATTTTTGAGGCGCCTCAAAACCGTGTGAACTGAGACGATTTTTTAGGCGCCTCAAAACCGCGTGAACTGAGACGATTTTTGAGGCGCCTCGAAACCGCGTGAACTGAGACGATTTTTGAGGCGCCTCAAAACCGCGTGAACTGAGACGATTTTTGAGGCGCCTCAAGCGGTGGTGAGGAGGATCATCCAGTGGAGGAGAAGCATTCTCCTCCACGTTGAGAAGCATCACGTTGTTTTGGTTAGGAATCTCCCCCTTCCACTCCACACCCTCCCTCCCTGTCTTGAGCGCTGTTAGTTATCCCATTGCCGCTTCACACGATTGCCTTCTGGGGGAGATGGAGAAGAGATGCACTCCACAGCCCACCCTCCACCCAACAGCAGCGGAAGCAGCAGTGGAGCAGGCGTTTATTCCATCCTTCAATCTACAGCCTAACTCCTCTTGCTGCGTCTTCCCCTTCCCCTTGGGTTTCTGGTTCCTCCCCCCAATGCAGGTCGACGGGTACCTACTAGGAGAGGAAGAAGTAAAGCTAAAGACCCTGATATGGACCGAGATGAACAAGGAGTATTTAGAAGAGTTGGAGCAGAAGCAGGCGGCGCAGCGCAGCGGGTAGCAGAGGACCAGGTGGCGGCGGTGGCGGCCGCAGCTGGTGCAGTGGCAGTGGGGGCAACAGTATTTTATTCCAGCCTTCAACCAGCAACCTATTTCTCTTGCTGCGTCTCCCACCTCCCTTGGTTTTCTGGTTTCTTTCCTCAATGCAGGTGGATGGATACCTGTTGGGGGAAGAGGAGGTGAAGCTGAAAACCCTAATTTGGACGGAGATGAACAAGGAGTATTTGGAGGAGTTGGAGCAGAAGCAGGCGGCGCAGCGGGCGGCAGAGGACCAGGTGGCGGCGGTGGCTGCGGCAGCGGCAGCAGCAGCAAGTAAATGTGGCGCCGGGACCTCTGCTCGTGCTGCTGCCGCGGCTGCAGCTGCTGCTGCAGTGCTGCAAAAGGTGTGTCTTGATGTGGTTTCCATGCTGATGTGGTTTCCATGCTGATGTGGTTTCCATGCTGATGTGGTTTCCATGCTGATGTGGTTTCCATGCTGATGTGGTTTCCATGCTGATGTGGTTTCCATGCTGATGTGGTGTCCATGCTGATGTGGTTTCCATGCTGATGTGGTTTCCATGCTGATGTGGTTTCCATGCTGATGTGGTTTCCATGCTGATGTGGTTTCCATGCTGATGTGGTTTCCATGCTGATGTGGTTTCCATGCTGATGTGGTTTCCATGCTGATGTGGTTTCCATGCTGATGTGGAACCATGCTGATGTGGTTTCCATGCTGATGTGGTTTCCATGCTGATGTGGTTTCCATGCTGATGTGGTTTCCATGCTGATGTGGTTTCCATGCTGATGTGGTTTCCATGCTGATGTGGTTTCCATGCTGATGTGGTTTCCATGCTGATGTGGTTTCCATGCTGATGTGGAACCATGCTGATGTGGTTTCCATGCTGATGTGGTTTCCATGCTGATGTGGTTTCCATGCTGATGTGGTTTCCATGCTGATGTGGAACCATGCTGATGTGGTTTCCATGCTGATGTGGAACCATGCTGATGTGGTTTCCATGCTGATGTGGAACCATGCTGATGTGGTTTCCATGCTGATGTGGTTTCCATGCTGATGTGGTTTCCATGCTGATGTGGTTTCCATGCTGATGTGGAACCATGCTGATGTGGAACCATGCTGATGTGGAACCATGCTGGTTTCTGTGCTGTATTGGTTTGGTGCGACTTTTGAGAATTCTCAAATGTGGTTTCCATGCTGATGTGGAACCGTTTGTATCTGTGCAAATCTCAGTGTCAGATACATGGTATAATCTGCTGTCGTTTGCATCCGTGAGATTCTCAATGTGTCATATTGATGTAAGTTACAACCGTTCGCATTCGTGCGAAACCACCTGGACTTGGTCTCATCGTTCAACACCATGTGCAGGGCGGGCTCGACCGCAAGCGGAGGCGCAAGGACGAGGCAGCACTGGGTCCTGCCCAGTCAGCAGCAGAAGCTGCCAAGAGGGTTCTCGACAAGAAGGTGGGGCTTTCTTTTGCTGCCACACTGTGTCCTCTAGCGCTCGCTCCTCCTCCTCCTCCTCCTCCTCCTCCTCCTCCTCCTCCTCCTCCTCCTCCTCCTCCTCCTCCTCCTCCTCCTCCTCCTCCTCCTCTCCTCCTCCTCCTCTCCGATAGTGCTGCTGCTGCTTCGATCTCCCCATCTCACCCATTAATCCCTTCCACTCGCCTCCACTCTATCTTTCTTCATTCCCACTCCTTTCCACCGTGCAGAGCTCAGCGCACGTCAACATGGAGGCTCTCGGACAGCTATTCTCAGATGGTGGCGGCGCCGCTGCAACTGCTACTGCTGCTGTTGCTGCTGCTGGGGCTGGAGCTGGGGCTGATGCTGCAGCTGGGCAGGGCCGGCCAAAGAAACAGCAGCACGTGCGGTGGGCTGATCAGGCTGCTGCCGCTGTTGCTGATGGTGCTACTAGTGGTGTTGGTGTTGGTAGTGCTGCTGCTGATGAAGCAGTGACAGCAGGGGCAGAGGAAGGGCCGCTCGCAGGGGGGTATGGTGGAGCAGAAGCAGGCTTGGGTGGGGACGAGGCGTGGGGAGGAGATGGCGCGCTGGGTGGGTATGGTGATGAGTCAACTACGTACGATGCTGAGTCAGCAGGGCATGGGGAAGGAGACATGGGAGTGGGCCATGATGAGGATTTGGAGCATAGGGGAGTGGATGGGGAGGAGGGTGATATGGATGGTGCTGCTGGGTTGCATAATGGGGAAGGTGCAGGTGATGGTGGTGGTGGTGAGGATGGTGAGGAGGAGGAGGAGGCAGCAGAGGCACATGCAGCTGATGGGGAAGAAACGGAATACCATGATGTGAATGGGGTGCAGTACCATGTGGAAACGGGTGAGCACTATAACGAGGATGGGGCAGGAGAGGCGGTATGGGGAGGTGGGGGAGCGGATCAGCTGTACGGTGCAGATGGCATTGACCCCGATGACCAATACATGTTTTACTGAACATGACCTGTTTTTTTTAGAAAGCTCACATCTGTATTCTCCTGGACATAACACCCGGGGGTATTATGATAACCACAGGGAAAAAAAGGGGGGCGGGGGGGGGGGGGGATGTGAGAACATTTTTTAATTAGACAATTTGGGTGTTTCAGTGGTCGTTTAACATCACAGTTTGAGGCGAGAATGTGAGTTTCACCTTTCGGGCCATTTGCAGCAAAAGATTCGCCAGCGTGGACAGCGAGATTGTGGGAGGGGGGAAATGTCTAATTGCAGCGAAAGATTCGCCAGCGTGGCGATAGCGAGATTGTGGGAGGGGGAGAATTTCGGCAGATTCTAAGTGAAAGTACACGCGAAATTTCATCTAGGAAGCATCCTCGCGATATTCTCCCGTAAAGAATCTGACTCGATAACAGCTATAATAGGAATCTGTAAGAAAAGGGGGGTGTTATAGAAAATCACCCAAAAAGGGGGGTATAGTACAAACGAGGTCGACTATAGCACCCCCCCCGCACAAGCTATCCGGGGGTATACTATTACGGGGGGGTGTTTTGTCCTGGAGAATACTGTAGTTGTATTTTATATTTTTTGAATAAATGTACCGTATGACCTAACTGATGTGTAGGCGCTTGGGTGCTGGTCAGGCCCTCAGATTCGTTTTTGGCCTGTCTGATTCGTCAGACTCTCTCTCAGTATTAGTCTGAAATCCTCAGAGTTGTCTAAAAAAAAAGTCTGAAACGTCAGAGTGTGTTTAAAAAAAAGTCTGAAACTTTCAGAGTACACTCAAGTAAAAGTCTGATTGTGCTTGTTGTAGCCCTAGTAATCATATTGAAGCAAGCCTACTCCAGTTCTCATACAGCTTTGCCTACATTCATACTAGTACTACTACTACTACTACTAATGGTGCTGCTTAGCCTTCACAAGATCACAGTTAGAATAGAACTAACTAACTAACTACCCTACCTACATCCAGTCAGCAAATCCATCGTCATCATCACTGTCAACTGCATCTTTCTCAGCGTCTAAGTCTACCACTTCCATCTCGTCATCAACCTCCCTACTCTTCTTGCTCTGTTGCCTTCCTGCAGGCGGGAGTGGAGCGTTGCTTTGGGGCTTGCGCTTCTTGTAGCTCCTCCAGATGTTCACAATTTCATCCCACTTGGGCTCGTAGTCCATGAGACTCATGCACATGAGGTCTCCTAGGCGTGCATCTTTCAGCGCGCCTCTCTGCCACGACTTGATGATGTTCTGGCGGGAGAATCCCCGCTCGCACTCCACTGTGCTCAGCGGCAGTACGGCTACTGCCACCCACAGAAGCACGAGGTTGGGGTAGTTGTCCCGCCAGTCGGGTGTCTTGAGCATGGCAGTGAGCCCGGCGTGGAAGCTGCGCTCGTTCTTCGTGGCTCCTGCAAGCACCGAGGAGAACATGCGCAGCTCCTTTTCCGCACGACGCTTGTTGATTCCTGGTGGGGGAGGAAGAGTAACAGTAGACGATGCTTAGTGAATATACAGTGAAGCACAACATATGCAATGCCAATTACAACAGTTACATGAGAACTACACAAACATGGGCTTACCGGGCAGGATCTCCTCGGTCTGGTCGGCCTTGAAAAGGGTCACAAGCGACTCCAGCCACTCCATGCACCTACGGTTCCTCTCTCCTCGATCCAGCGGGTACTCGTCGGGGGTGAATAGCCTTGCCCCAGACATCCCTTCCAGATCGCCAAGCCGATGAAGCAGTTGGTGCACGATCACCTCGGCGAACAGGGTGCAGACCTCAATGCAAGCATCGTGGGTCCCAGGCCCATCAAATTCCTCTTGCTCGTCCTCATGCAGCCTGAAGGTGAAGCGTGCAGGGCGGCCGTCCGAGTCAACACCCTCGACAGTAACTTCCTTGTTTCCTCCTGGGCCGTGGCGCGTGATGAAGGGGGACAGCAGCTCGCTGACGCCACCACCGAAGTCGTCGCCGCAATCGACGTAGCGGCTCTCGATGTGGGACGTTGTGCGCTTGATCTGCGCATGCACGCCCACATAGTCAAGCTGGACAGAAACAAGGCACAAGGTAGTTAGCTCATGCGCACGGTAAGCATGCTGGAAAGAAGCAGCACTAGAACTTAGCAGAAGAGGATATTGACCAAGCATGTAACAACAATGATAGGACACTATAACATTGAGCTCACCTCTTTGTGCTGGAAGGCCCTGTTCAAGATGTTGAGCTGCTCAAGCACGTCTGCTATGAAAAACAGGAGAAAGTGAAACCTGTAGCTTGTCACGAGCACATACAGCTCCGCGTCCCACTCCTTCAGCATCACGATGAGAGCCGGCAACACTTGCAGAAGCCTCTGCACCGCGTCACCCCTCGATAGCCAGCGGACGGTATGAATGCATTGCAGCTCGAGTGAAGTTGACGTGAAAACTTCCTGCAAGCCCATGAAGCGCTGGTGCCATGGCCCAGAGCGGCCGAGATGCTCTGCCACTGTCCGAATCACCTTGTCAATGACGTTGAAGGCGGGGATTTTCTCGGGGGCAGTTTTAGCCGCCAGTGCCTCCCTGTACAACACGAGTGAAGGACATTAGTGAGACTGTCAAATAGAATATGTAAACAATGCACTGCACGATTAGGCACAAACATTCCAGACAGTACCTGTGCGCGATGCAGTGGGATGACACCAAATGTGGGATGCGCAGGCGGAGGCGTGTCGTGAGGCCAGCTTGTTTGCCCATCATGACTGCCGCACCGTCGGTGCTGATGCCTGCAATGCGCTGAAGGCCGATCCCCACCGCCTGCAGGTGTGACACCAAGCTAGCCAGAAGAGAGGCTGCGTCGGCCTTGTCCACGGTGAGTAGGGCCATGAACTCCGTGACAAGCTTGAACTCGCGGATGAAGGTGATGAAGATGATAAGGTGCTTCCCGCTGCACCTATCAGTGCTCTCGTCGATCGAGATGCCGACGAAGGGCGACAGCAGGATGTGATCCAGCTGGGTTGTCTGGAGCCATGTCGCCGTCACTTGCGTCAGCTCACCGAAGCCGTATCTGCAACAAGAAACAACAGTGAGTATCAAATCATTGACGTACTTACTGGAAACACATATTATTACAGCAGCTCACATAAAGTGTTCATCACTCACGTCGTATAGTACGTGCCGTACCCCTTCTTCGGGAAGCCCTGCATGCCCTTCTCCGCCAGATACCGCACCAGTTTCACCCACATCCCCATGGGCGCGTCGGACCTGCTGACGAACAGCAACGAGTCGAGAAGGGCGATGACGCGCAGCTTCTCAGTATCAACCGTTGCGCGATGTTGGTCGATAAGCGGCTGCGTCGCCCGACACTCCTGCGCAGATGTCAACCTCGCCATCGCCAGCTTGTGCTTCGCCGTGCCAGCATGTTTCCGAAACGATTGTGTCTGCAAATCGGTAGCACCTTTCCCACTCCTCCCGCACTTGCCTGCATCGCCAGCAAATGACACACACAAAGTACACTTGAACGCAGGCAAACCAGAGGCGACTTTAGTGATCCGAAGCCACGGAAAACGAGCAGACCAGAGACTCTTGAACTTGTCTATCGCCTCATCGTAGACTTCTTCGATGAGCTCGTCCAGGTTGATGTTAAGGCGTGGACGCGGTCGCTCAGATGTTCCGGGGGCGTTGACGTCGGCGGACGACGACGATGCCTTGCAGAAGCCCAATGTCGCCTGCTTGAGCCGAATCGTGCGCGCCGTGGTCAGAGGCGAATGCTGCGAGGCCGCACCCACAGTTGGTTCCGCAGGTGTCTCTGCCACAGGTTCGGCAGACAGTGAGATAACCGGTGCCGTCGGTTCTTTCTGTGTGGGGATCGTATCGGGCGTGGCGCATGCTGCCTTGTCGAGTTCTAACGCACTGAGAAGAAAGTCTAAGCCTGTTAAGGCAGGCTGGGAATCAGGGTCGGGATCGCTGGAGCCGGGATTGTCCAGCACCGCCATGGCGGGGTTCAGAAAGAGCCTGCCGAGCAGGAACAAGAAATGTGTTCGCGAGGCAGAACTAGGGACTGGCTGAGGCCAGTCAACACCAGCTAGGGGGTGTGGATGAAACCCTAGCTGAAAGGTGATGGCAATAGACAAGACAAGGAGGACACGTTGAGGTGGATGGGTGGTTGCCTTGCATGCACGACAACGACGAGGCGCGTCAAAAGTGCAATGCTGTCAGCGTTGTGTCGTGGGTGGCTAGTGCAGCATCGTGGGTGCAAGGCCGGTCCGTGATGGCACACAGAAGCTGCCATAAGGACCAATCGGTGCTCTAGCAGGGTGTGCGCTGGTGTTTACGTAGGAAAAACCGCGTCGCAGGGCGGCCACGCCCACAAAACATGACTGTTGATGTGTGGTCCCAGGTTACGCGTGATTGACCACCCAGGTACACGTACTAGCGCAAATCGTGGGTGTGGGTGCCAAGGTACATTGAATCAGTTTCAGAGTCCGTACGCATTTGACTCTGAATTATCAGAGTACACTCAAAAAAATCTCTGAAATTGCAGACTTGGCTTTAAAAAAACTCTGAATTTAACAGACAACACTTCAAAAAAATTCTGAATTTAACAGACAACACTAAAAAAAAAGTCTGAGAAATCAGACTTTTATAGGCAAATCAGAGAAATTTCTCTGACTTCATGGGGCCTGGTGCTGGTAGTGTAACTTTCAGTGTACCGGTAGCTAGCGTTATCTAATTGGCAAACACTAGTGCCTTAATGTCCAATCAAAGCCGAGCTTATGTTTCCTCGCCACGTCCTCTCCTTGTCCACCATTCAGCATCAGTTTCACTATAGGGTTATGAGAGCCCAGACTACATTGTAGGAATTTTGTATTAGAATATTTCGTATAACATTATCACTTACTCACCATGTTGAAGACTATTTTTGCGCGATGTACTACTCATGGTAAAAAAGGCAGGGCACAACGCATGAAATGGAAGTACCGTATTCTCCCGGATAAAACACCCCCCCGTAATTGTACACCCCCGGGTAGCTAATACGGGGTGGGTGTTATATCCGACCCCGTTAGTACTATACCCCCCTTTTTGGGGTGATTCTCTATAACACCCCCCTTTTCTTATAGATTCCTATTATAGTTGTTATCGAGTCCGATTCCTTACGGGAGGATATCGCGAAAATCACTCCCTAGAAGAAATTTCGCATGTACTTTCACTTAGAATCAGCCGAGATATCCCCCCTCCCACAATCTCGCTGTCGCCACGCTGGTGAATCCCAAAATCTCGCTGTCGCCACGCTGGCGAATCTTCCACTGCAAGTGGTCCAAGAGGTGAAGTGGCCCAAGTGGCCCACAATATCCTCGTACTCGGTTTTGCGGCATTGATCAACATTCTTGAAGTGAAGTCAGACCCCTGATTTTGTTTCACATCTTTTCTGTTTTATAAAAAATATACCATATCATAAGACCCGGGTATTATATAGGATTTTCCTTTGAGGAGACCCCCCCCATTTTTTTCCAGTGGTTTTCATAATACCCTAGGGTGTTTTATCCAGGAGAATACGGTAGTTATAGTACAAATCAAACCAGAGTCAAAGAGTGAAAAGAAATTATTATAAAAGGCCCTTTCGCAAGGTTGTTCCTTCCCCAACGCGCCATATAATGAGGTAGGCTGCATACCTACACCCACTTGTGTAACACTCAAGATCTAACGGTAACATCTCACGTATGGTAGGTAGCCTATGCTCCAATGCTGCTGAAACAATCGGCATACCTGTATAGAAGCCTTGGGAACATGTCACCGCCGTCTCGAGCATGAATGTATACTGTAGTATGTTGACCACTTTAGTGGTCACATCGGTGGAGTGTAGAACCCGTTTCAGTGTAGCAGTAACTCCAGAAGTCTCAATCTTCCAGTAGAAAAGAGACTCCCCTAAGGAGAATGCTCACTTGCAGTGGCCATTCACTCGCGTATACTCCAACTGTGGCAGAGTAAAACCCCTTATCCATCATATCAGATCTCACATCTGCCGATCATCAGCCAGACTCCTCTTCCGCAGCTCCGCCCATTTACCCGTGCCAACCAATCAGCTGCTGCCAGCTGGCGCCAACCAATCAGCTGCTGCCAGCTGGCGCCAACAAATCAGCTGCTGCCAGCTGGCGCCAACCAATCAGCTCATGCCAGCTGGTGCCATGAGAGATGCGACACTGCGAATACACCTGTAGCGCGTCAACAGCTGCCACCTCATCATCGCAGCTGCCACATCATTGCCACTGCTGCCACCTCATCACCACAGCTGCCACCTCATCACCACAGCTGCAAGCATGCATTATTGGAGGCATCTCAACACACCCCACCCGCCGGCGCTGCTGCCACTGTCTCTGCTTCTTTCCCCAACTCCCCCCACATGCAGCCTTGCAAACTCCTACAGGCACTCACAAGTCTTACTTCCCCAACCTACACTCACCCCCCACACATGTCCTACCCACACACACCCTGTGCAGAAACACCCTCCCCACGCTCTGTCTCCCACCCTGCTCCTCCCCGACTCATCCCCCACTCATCCCCCACTCATCCCCCACTCATTCTCCACTCATTCCTCCACTCATCCCCATCTCCTCGATAGCTAGCCTCCACACTACCACTAAGCCTCAGTTTCGGTACAACCAGTATAAGCACAGTTGAGTTCTGCGCACAGGTTGACACAACCGCTACAGCCGCTGCACCCCTGCTGCTACAGCTGCTGCAGGTAGAAACGCCTTCTCCACCCAACCCTTACTACTGCCGCACACACTCTCTGTTCACTCCGTTGTTTCCGTCACTCTCCCCATCTTTCAACCCACATCATCCAGTCATCCAACCACCCTCGCCTTCCCCAACACCTCCTCCTCCCACAACACCTCTCCGTCCACCTTCCCCCACACCTCCGCCCATCCCTTCACCCGTTTCCCTTAGTCTCGTAACTGCAGCAGCAAACAGCAGGTTGTGGCAAGGCTAAGGAGCGTTGAACGGCACAAATCCCATTGGGGGGAGGAAGGCTGTAGCACTGCCAGCTGTAGCAACGGAAGCTGTAGCACCGGCAGCTGTAGTGCCAGAAGCTGTAGCACCAGCAGGCCCCAAGACTGTAGCACTGGCAGCTGTAGCAAGGCTAAGGAGCATTGAACGGCACAAATCCCATGGGGGGGAGGAAGGCTGTAGCACCGGCAGCTGTGGCACCGGCAGCTGTAGTGCCAGAAGCTGTAGCACCAGCAGATACGGCTGTAGCCACGTGCATCAATGGAGCAGATGAGCTGGCGGCCAGGTCAGCAGGAACAGCAGGAAACACAGTGCCGGCTGTAGCAGCAACACTAGCTCCGGCTGTAGCAGTGGTGACTATAGAAGCAGTGGCTGTAGCAGGAGTGGTGGTGATCGAAGCTTGAGGAGGAGGATGGTATGGGTAAACTGGACTGGGAATGAGCGATGGGAACGGGGTAAGGCCCAAAGCACTAGGATACTGCTGCAGGTGCATCCCAGGGTGTGTTCCAGGGTGCGTTCCAGGTTGCGTTCCAGGTTGCGTTCCAGGCTGCATCGCAGGGTGCAATCCAGGGTGCATCCCAGGGTGTGCAAACGGGGGCATGAGAGAATGCCCAAAGAAAGCTCCTGGAAACTGTGACAAAGGTGGTCCCATCTGGCCTGGAAAGGCTTCACCTTGTGTCTTTCCAAGTTGTGTATTCGCAGCAGCACCGGCAGCAGAAGCAGTAGAAGCCGTGGCAGCAGCTACAGAAGCAGCTGTAGCAGCAGCTGTAGCAGCAAGTGCTGCAGCCTGTGAAGCTGCTGCAGCTGTAGCTTGCGGGGACGAGTGGCATTGAGGAGCGTTTTCAGCTGGTGCTACTTCTGCATGAGCGTTGGAGAGGGAAGAGGAGGCAGTGGTGGGTTTGGAGTCTTGGGGAGTGCGCGAGGTGCGCACGGGGGGGACCTGCTGCTGCATATGTTCCTGCTGCTGATTCAACTGCTGCTGCTGCAGTCCCTGCTGCTGTTGCAGCTGCTGCTGACTCTGTTGCTGCTGCATATGTTCCTGCTGCTGATTCAACTGCTGCTGCTGCAGTCCCTGCTGCTGTTGCAGCTGCTGCTGACTCTGTTGCTGTTGCTCTTCCTGTTGCTGTTGCTGCTGCTGCTCCTGGCACTGCTTCCTGGCGCCTCTGTTCTGTTTCTGCCGTGCCTGCTTCTGACCAGCCTTCCTCTCCTTTCGAGCCTGTTCAACGCCCGCCTCCTGCTCCTCACACCAAACCCGGTGGGCCTCCCTTGCTTGCTGCTGGTGCCGCTGCAGCTGCCAGAAATGCTCCCTACTCTGCTGCTCGTCCTCCTCCTGCTGCTGTTGCTGTTGCTGTTGCTGTTGCTGCTGTATGTGCTGTTGCTGCAGCATCATCTGCTGCTGCTCCTGCTGCATTTGCTGTTGCCGCAGCATTTGCTGCATTTGCTGCTGCTGCTGCTGCTGCTGCTGCAGCAACTGCTGCCCCTGCTGCAATCGCAGCTGCATCTGCTGCTCCTGCTCCTGCTGCAATTGCTGCTGCTGCTGCTGCTGCTGCTGCTGCTGCTGCTGCTGCTGCTGCTGCTGCTGCTGCTGTTGCTGGTGAGCCAACCAGACGCTATTACCCACCTCGGCACGCACATTAGGGTCCTGTGGGGCAAGGGCGTACACTCTTGACCCGCTGGCAGCGACAGCTGCATTATTAGCGGCAGTAGCAGCGGCAGCAGCAGCAGCAGCAGCAGCAGCACAAGCGCTATCCCCTCTCCCCGCCCTCCCCATCCTCCCGACACAAGCAGCAGCCCTGCCCCTCTTAGCAGTACCACGACTAGCAGGCTTCGAAAAGCCTGCCATCGCCCCTGCCTGCACTCCCACTGCTCCTCCTGCCCTTGCCCCTGCCTCTGCCCCTTCCCCTAGCCCTTCCCCACCCCCTCCCCCTCCCCCTGCACTTCCAGCAGCAGCAGCGGCAGCAGCAGTAGCAGCAGCCACAGCAGCGGAAGCGGCAGCAGCGGGGGGCGGAATGGGGTTGGCGGCGGAGAGGAGTTGGCAGAGGGGGCGGGAGCGCATGTGGTTGACAAGGTTACACTTGAAGGCAAACTGCATGCCGCAGCGACACACCAGCATCTGCCCACACATCTTCCCATGGTCCCTCAGATCCGCCTGGGGTTATCGGGTGCAGTGGAGGGGAATGGGGGGAGACGTAGGGGTAGGAAAAGGGCGGAAGAGAAGGAAGGAGAAGACATGAAGTGGCAGCAATAAGGGGAAGGGAGGAGAGGGGGGAGAAGGTCGCGGGGGGAAGGGGGTAGGGGAAAGGGCAAGGTGGAGGAGGGAGAGGAGTTGGCAGAGGGGGCGGGAGCGCATGTGGTTGACGAGGTTGCACTTGAAGGCAAACTGCATGCCGCAGCGACACACCAGCATCTGCCCACACATCTTCCCGTGGTCCCTCAAATCCGCCTGGGTAGAGGGGGTGGGGGGGTGGTGGGTGGCGGCGGGAGGGGAACGACAGGGGGCAGAAGACAGTAAGGTTGATGTGCCTCATAGCATGCCGCAGCGACACACCAGCATCTGTTCACACATCTTCCCATGGTCCCTCAAGTCTACCTGGAGGGGTTGTTGGGGAGGAAAGAGTGAGACGAGAGGGAGGATGAGAATGGGCGGGGAGCAGGCAAGAAAGAGGGCGGAAAGAGTAAAGACATGAAGCAACAGTGGAGTGCACATCAGCACAGCAGCACATCAGCACAGCAGCACAGCAGCACAGCAGCACAGCAGCACAGCAGCACAGCAGCACATCAGCACAGCAGCACAGCAGCACAGCAGCACAGCAGCACAGCAGCACAGCAGCACAGCAGCACAGCAGCACAGCAGCACAGCAGCACATCAGCACAGCAGCACAGCAGCACAGCAGCACAGCAGCACAGCAGCACAGCAGCACAGCAGCACAGCAGCACAGCAGCACAGCAGCACAGCAGCACAGCAGCACAGCAGCACAGCGGCACAACAGCACAGCAGCACAGCAGCACAGCAGCTGCACTTGCTGCACGCAAACGGCCTTACCTCAACGAAGAACCGCTTGCTGCACTTGCCACACGCAAACGGCTTCTCCCCGTGTGCATGCATGTGAGTATGTGGAGAGAAAGAGATGAGCGAAAGCCAGGGGGGGGAGACAAAAAGAGGGTGAGAGCAAGTCTCACCTCAACAAAGAACCGCTTGCTGCACTTGGCGCACGCAAACGGCTTCTCCCCCTGCTGGTGCTTCCGCCCAAAATGCCGCCTCAGCTCATACAGCCCCACAAACGTCTTCCCGCACTCCGGGCAGCGCGACGGAATCTTTTTATTCTGCCCGGCCTTGCTGCCCCCGTGCCGCGGCCCCAGAGCATCCTCACACGCCGCCTGGAACACCGCGTCGGGCAGATCGTGCGTGCGCAGATGCATCTTCAGCGTCTGCCAGTTCTTGAACGTTTTCCCGCAGTCGCTGACGTGGCAGAGAAACGGGCGGCGGTTGTGGATAAGGTCCAGTGAGACGATCTCTGCTTGTCTGGCGGTAGGGGTGTGCGCTGCTGGCTTGCCATTGGCAGTGGCGGTAGGGATATGCGCTGGTTTGCTATTGGTAGTGGCGGAAGGGGTATCTGCTGGTTGGGAATTGGCAGTGGCAACAGTGGTGGTAGGGATAGGTGCTGGGAAGCCATTAACAACAGCAATCTCTGCTTTCCCAAAGAAAGAAGTGGCTGTTCTACCAGTATCCCTAGCAGAGACACTGACTAGCTCTCCAGCAGCTGCTCCAGGCAGGGAGGCTGGCAGGAAGGCTAGCGAGCCTGTCAAGGCCAACACGCCTGAGCCCCCAGCATCTGCAACTCCTTGTGCTGGGGAAAAGTGAGTGCCTGCGGTGGTCTCAGCAGGCAGAGCAATAGGTGCAGCCTCCACAACAGCAGCAGAAGCAGCAGCACCCCTGGCACCGACACCAGCAGCAGCAGCAGCAGCATCAGGAGCAGCAGAAGTACCAGCAACAGTACCATCAGCGCCAGCACCAGCGCCACCTGAAACCTTGGCGCCTGAACTTCCAGTAACCAAGGGCCCGTTCAGAAGAACCAAAGCAGCTCCTGCAGGCTGGTCCGCTGTGTCTGAACCCACCCCCTCTGCCCCCTGCGCAGCAGCATCTGTTGCTGCATCTGCTGCAGTATCTGTAGTCCCGACCAGGGCAATCCGTCCAGCAGCATCAGCCATACCTGCTGTAGCAGCAGCATGAACAGCAGCATCAACAGCAGCATGGACAGCAACACCAACATCGACAGCTGTAGCAGCAGTCAGAGTGGCAGTTGAAGCAGCAACCAGTGTAGCTTCAGCAGCAGCAGCAGCAGTCCCGACAACTGCAAGCCCAGCAGTGGCACCTTGTGCATCAGGTGCTGTTGTTGCAGGTTCAGTGGGAGCAGTGGGAGCAGCGTCAACAGCAGTGAGCTTTTGAGTTGACTCAGGAGCAGCAGCATTTGCAACCTCAGTGGGGGAAGTGGGGGCAGCTGCAGCAGTCCAGTCTTGACGCTCCTCACAAAGCGTAGCAGCAATTTCAGTGGGACGGCTAGTGGTAGCAGCGTCAGGGGGAGACGGGTGGACAGGCATGGACGCATCGGCATCCGTTGCTGCTCCTGCTGCTCCCGTGGCTTCTGCCGTCACTGCTGCTGCACCTGAAACTGCAACTGAATCCGTCCCTACTACAACTGCGCCCGCTAAAGCCGCATTGGCTACAACTGCACCTGCTTCAACCTCCTCTGCTAGTGCCCCATCCGCTACAGCTGCACCTGCTACAACCGAATCTGCTATATTCCCATCTGCTACAATCGCATTCACTACAACCCCATCCGTTACAACCACCTCCGCCACAACTGCATCCGCTACAGCCGCGTCCGCTACAGCCGCGCCTACTACAGCTTCATTTGCTACAACCACATTCGCTACAACCGAATCTGGTGCTGCAGCAACGTCAATTGCTGGAACGTCTAGCCGTTGCTCTGTCGTTTTCCCAGTTGGCAGCAGCACGGGCGGCAGGGCGGACGGCAGCACCGGCGGCAGAACGGACGGCAAAGCGGGCGGCAGAGTGGGCGGCAGGTCCAAAGGAGGCAGGTCGACGGCGGAAACGTCAGGGAGAGGTGAATGCACTGGCAGCACCGAGGGGTCTCGCAGAGAAGGCGGCTCCAAGAGGGTGGGAGGGTCTAGCAGAGTAGGGGCGTCAAGAAGCGTGGCATCGGGCAGAGGGGGAGGCAAAAGGGGGAGGTCCTGTGAGATAGGAGGCTCAGGGGTGGAAACAGGCTCAGGGGGGTCAGCGACAGCTGCAGCAACGGTTGAATTTTGAGACGTCTCAAGAGTAGGGGAAACAAGAAGCGTGGCATCGGGCAGAGGGGGAGGCAAAAGGGGGAGGTCCTGAGAGATAGGAGGCTCAGGGGTGGAAACAGGCTCAGGGGGGTCAGGTAGAATGAGAGAGTCTAGCAGAACGGCGCTGTCGGGAGGTGGGGCGGGGCGGGGAAAGGTGGGAGGGGCTGAGAGAACGGGTGACTCAGAAGCACAAGCTGCACCAGCAGCACCAGCAGACTCAACCGCGTCAACAGCGGCAGAAGCGTCAGCAGCAGCAGCAGCAACAGCAGCAGCAGAAGCGGCAGACTCAACCGCGCGAGCAGAACCAACAGCACCAACAGCACCAACAGCACCAGCAGCAGCAGCACCGTCAGCAACGGCCGCTCTACTCTCCCTTCTCGCTCTCTTCTGACAAGGAACCGAGTCCCAACCAGCCTCCCTCCCTTCCTCCTCCAATCCGCGCTTCAAACACTCCATGTTCTGTGGCCTAGTGGGTAGAATGGTACTGTCTGCGATGCTGCTGGGCGGCATGAGCGGCAAAGTGTCCCCTGAATGGCTGCTGGGCGGCATGGGCGGCAAAGTGTCCCCTGAATGGCTGCTGGGCGGCACACTGCTGGGCGGCAGTGTGAGGGGCTGGGGGAGGGAGCCCGCGGAAGCAGCAGAGCGGAGGGCGGAAGACCCGTCCGCGGCTACTGGCGCGCGGGAGGGCGGGGGAAGGGCGGGCGCGGAAGACAGAAACGCAGGCGCGGACAGGCACGCGGGGTGGAGAGGCGGGGCGGAAGCGAATTGGGCGGAGGGAGTAGATGGCGCGGACGCAGGCGCGGGCGGGCACGCGAGGGGGCATGCGGCGGGGAATGGGGGATCGCGCGCAGGCTGGGCGGAAGGTGTTGCGGGCGGGGATGCTAGAGGAGGGGCTGGGGACGCGCGGGACGGCACGCGGGCGCAGTGCCCTCGCGGGGACGCGGAAGCGGCGGAGCAGTAAAGCGGGGGCAAACGGGGGAGAGCAGCAGTGGGGGAAGAAGCAGGCGAGGCAGTGGGGGGGGAAGGTTCCGCGAAGCCGGGATCAAGCGGAACGGAAGCTTCTGGAACGCGGGGGAGGGACGGCAGAGAAGCAGAGAGGCGCATCTGTGGAGGGGGGCGCGTTGGGGAGAGAGGTGGGGGTGATACAGACCAATTCAATCCAGCCCCCCCTGCTGCTGCCGCCGCTGCAGCTGCTGCTGCTGCTGCTCCTGTCGCTGCTGTTGCTGCTGCTGTTGGCCGAACTGACGATATCGAGGCTGATCGTATCGCGGATGCTTGAGCCGCTGAAACAGAATGCCCGCTGCTTACACCGCCGTCAGTTACGCTGGGATTAATGGCCGGGGGAGCTAATACAGCTACAGATGGTGTCGCAGACGCAGCGGACGACACAACGACGGGGTTGTGCGACCCAAACGACGCGCCATGCGACGCGCGCGACGTCGCGTCTGGCGACCAGCGACCAAAGCGACGGCGCATCACCAGATCTAGCTGTCGCATCTGCTCATGCGATCGCACACGTCGCATGCTATGCATCGGCAGCTGCTGCGGCGACTGCGGTTGCGACTGCGGCTGCTGCAGATACCACCGCGGTTGCTGTCGCTGCTGCCCCTGTCCTTGCCCCTGCCCCTGCCCCTGCGCCTGCAACTGCGCCTGCGCCTGCCACTCCGCCTGCCCCCGCTCTTGCCCAGCCATCCATCCCCACACCTGCGCCTGTTCCCGCGCCTCCCTCTGTCCCCATCCCTGCGTCACCGCCTGCGCCTGTACTTGCCTCTCCTCCTGCCCCTGCGTCTGCCTTTGCGCCTGCACCTGCGCGTGCCCCTCCGCCTGCCCCTGCGCCTGCGCCTGCCCCTGCCCCTGCGCCAGACTTTGTTGATCGGAGGGGGACGAAGAGATAATAGACTTGAGCGTGCTCACTAGATTCGGGTGCATCACCGGCATAACCGGCCGCAGAACCGGCGACATAACTGGCCGCAGTACTGGCGACATAGTCGGCTGCATAGCCGGTGACAGAACGGGCTGCATAACCGGCGACATAACCGGCCGCATAACCGGCGCGAGAGGTGCATGCGGTAGCTGCAGCGGCGCCGGCATCAGCAGCGGCGACATGCAGACTTGAACCGCGGAGAGGCCAGGGGGAACGGGGGGAACTGCGCCCGCGGGCAGGAGAGCGGAGGGGACTGCGCCTGCGGGCATCTCTACGGCGGAAACCAGGGGGCTTCTGGGGAAACCCGCGGGGGTAATCGACGCAGGTGGCATGGTTTGCGGAACGGAGCGGGATGCGGAAGGGGACGACATCCCGGGCATCGGCGGAGGATACGACCAATTTGCGCCAACTGCTCCCCCCCCGTCTGCGATGACTGCAGCGGAGACCCCGCCCTCCCCTTCCCCTCTTGACATATACCGCGAGGGTGGAACAGACGGTAGAGCCGCGTGCGGAAGGCTGAGTGACGGAATTGCGACGGAATGCGTCGCCATGGCGTCGCCAGGACCCGGCGCTGCGACTGAAAGAACACCGTAAGCCGCTGGCGGGAGGAGGCGGTGCGCTTGCGGCTGTTGACCAAATACCGGGGCTTCTGCGGCTGCTACAGCTGCAGCAGGCGCCGTCGCGTCGGCTGTAGCGTCGGATGTAGCGGCGATCGTATCGTCGGTTGGAACGTCGGCTGTGGCAACAGCCGTGGACCATTGCTGAGACGGCACGCGAGGCAGGGGCGCGGGTGAAGCTGCCCCGATGCCGGGCGGAGGGGGAGGAGAGGAGGGCGAATCACCAATAGGCGCGAGAGACGGAACCCTAGCAGAAAATGGATAAGGCGAAGCTCCAGAAGCGACTGGCACTGTTACGCCGGGAACACTAATAGACGATGGGTTATCAACAGCACTAACAGACGTATGTAAGGCTTCACCCGCTTTAGGTAGCTCCGCGAGTTGCGAAGTATCGGTGGTAACACAGGGACGCGAAACAGGACTTGCTGGCGACAACGAGGGAGTATCGGGGGGGCTACATGGTGCTGCTGCTGCTCGCATCGTGCGCTTCCAGCGAAGCTAAAGGAGCCAGAGGAGCTAAATCGAAAGCTACGGAGCGCGACTCGATGCGGAAAGGCGAGTTAGGAGCGACAGCGGGAGATGCGTGCAAGAAACACCAGATCCGAAACATTGCTGAATTTCTTCGTCTTGACGACAATCTAGCGCATGGAACCACGGCCTCGAACGAATGCCAGGAAATCTGGAATGAGACACCAGCAAGCAGAATCTGCTCACCACAGAACTGCCTTGTGCCTTCAAAATCCTGCACTGTACTGCACTACCAAGACGCCTCCTGCTCATTGCAGGTTGGAGCACCAGTCACAGGTCTCTCTCCACTAACCCGCCACTTGTGGAAGTTACGAAAGGACCGACCTCGATGTTAATCATCTTTTGTGTGGTGGAGGGCGGAAGCCATAGCCGGGAAAAGTGCACGGGAAAGTGCGGAATAATGAAACCCTACTGGCTGCTGGAAGCGTTGACAGAAGACAGACTGCAGGTCGAGCATTTCCAACCACTTATTATTCGTCTGTGCGAATTTATCAACTAATCATCCGTTACAGGGCTCCTAGTTCGCCACAGGAATCGTCTGTTCGAGTCATCCTTCGCGAATTCGCGAGGGCTTCTTAGGTGTCAATCTTTCGCTGTAGTCCGCTCGAGCCAGATCTTGGGGGAGATGAAAGGTGGAGAGGAAAACTGTCGGAGGGGTTCCGAAGACGAAGGTTTTGTTACAAGCACGGTGATTTCGAATGTTCGAATCGCCCGAGGGGAAGGTGGACTCCCCATATGCGAAATGACAACCGACGCCTAGGGTTCACTGTACCGAAAATGCTTCATCGTGAAGCTATAAAGTACCTGCTATTTATCACAAAATTGTCCATGGGCCACCAACCCGGTGCTTTCTATTAATGCAACCCATGTAATATGATATTATGCATTTGGTCAGGCATGAGCAATTGCAAAAGAATGGCAGAGTTGCACTTTACATACGATGCTGTATGTGTTATTCCTTCGATCGTGGATGTGGATGGGCTACGCGATAGATGAGAGAATGCCTGGGAGAATGCTCCCAGAATGCCTTCACAGCTGAAATTACAGGAACACGAGGATGCACGAAAAGGGTTTCAATATCAGGCTGCAGTCAATGGTTAGACAATGTTTGGGAAACCCTGGCTTTACCAGGGCAAAAGCTGCACTACACCTTGGGTTCCATTGCACTAACATGATACGAACGATATCTTGAAACCCGGGGTAGCTAAAAAAACCCCGTGACAAAAAATTAGGATACTTTAGGGCGTTTTTCCCTGATCAGAAGACGCTCGGCTAGCATCCCTTCTTGCCTTTGCTGCTTGTGCCTGGGCCGAGGCATACTCTGAAGGCCAACCCACAACACAGCAAACAACGGTGCCCCAAGGATCCACAGACAGACCAGCATGACAGCAACAAAAACAAGGGGCACAGGGGGATTGAGGGTGGTTAGCGGGCTTTATCAGCTACAATTGAATTGTGCATTCACACCAATCCACCGATCCTGACCAGCCATAGCTGCCACACGCTCGACACAAGCCCCACTAGGACCATACACATCATGCACACCTTGTAACTCCCAGGTTTTTTTATTTATCCAAAGCCAGCAATTCTTAATACACGAACATGAGGGTCCCAGGGGTCCTCACTCACAGGGAAGAGCTGTAAGGTGTCAAGAACCAACTACTTTCATACACACCTTCTAACTCCTCTTCAGTGGTAAACATGTTTGAGTCGAAAATAAGGACGCGGCACCTCTAGGGAAATTGTCAGGATCGTGGGGGGATCGGGGCCTCACACCGGTTCAGGCACATCGATCGGCATACCGATGTGTCCACACTGCAGATTTGCAATCGCCTGGACACACCGAGCCACGGGCGACAGGATCGAAAATATATGGGGCAAAATTGCCTGATCTCCACAATTACACGATCGATGTGTGGGCGCTGGTACATCGATTGTGCGAGCCAGAGGTGCCACCATTTTGGGCACCAATTCACTGTACACTTGCGAGATGGGTCGAAACAGGATACCAGGCTGTTGGCGATGTCGCGATTTCACTGTACAAGCTAGGATCTACCCCCACTCAGGATCGATCGTGGCTTCCTCCCTAGAGGTGCCGCGTCCTAACCCTACAAGGACCGTGCACCTCATACACACCTTGTAACTCCTCTTCAGTGGTATCCATGTTTGAGTCGAAAATAACCCTACGAGGACCGTGCACCTCATACACACCTTGTAACTCCTCTTCAGTGGTATCCATGTTTGAGTCGAAAATAACCCTACGAGGACCGTGCACCTCATACACACCTTGAACTAGCAACTAGTCAGTGGTGACCACCCGCTAGTCTCATACACACCTTGTAACTCCTCATCAGTGGTATCCATCTCATGATCCAGCAGCGTGGGAAACCCTGGGGGGACCATGCACTTCATACCCACCTTGTGACTCTTCATCAGGATACTTTTGGGTTGACCCAGAAGTTACTTCGTACACACCTTGTAACTCCTCATCGGTGGTAACCATCTCGAGATCCAGCAGCGCCAGCAGCCGGTGCAAATCCACCCCGCTTGTCCAATTCTCCCTCACATTCCCCTGTCGCAGCTTCAGCCTCCCTCTATTCGCTGTTCCCCCCCAAATCATTCCCACAGGAACCAGCATCGGCTCATGACTGTGTCCCACCCCCTCCCATCCCTCTTCTCTCCCCTCTGCCTGCCCGGCCCCTTCTCTCTGTGATGGGTGGACGGCGAAGGGTGAAGGGCCGTGGGAGGGGTACGGAGGGTGGAGAGATGGGTGGTGTGCGGTGGTAGCTTCCCTGTGGGTTGGAACGTGGGCAGCACTGCAGTCTAAGGCGTGATGGTGCGGCTGGTGGTAAGGGCAGGTGTGGTGATGGTGGGGGGTGTGGTGGGGTTGATGCTGTGAGTCCGGCCCATGCTGCTGTTGTTGCCTCTGCTGCTCATACCCATGCTGCTGCTGCTGCTGCTGCTGTTCCTGCTGTTGCCCTTGCTCCTGCTGCTCCTGCTCCTGCTGCGGCTGCTGCGCCTGCTCCTGCTGCCTCTGCTGCTGGGGGGTCCCCAGCTGCGGCAGCAATTCCATTCCATGCTGCATGAACCCATGCAGGACCGCATGTGGGCCCTCATACCCTGAAGCATGCGTGGGAGCAGGAGCATGCGCTGCTGAAGCATGCGTAGGAGCATGCATGGGGGCATGCATGGGAGCATGCATGGGAGCATGTGCGCCCTCATGCCCTGCAGCATGCGCGGAAGCATGCGCGGGAGCATGCACATTCTCTGAAACATCCATTGGAACATGTGCTGAAGCATGCATGGGTGTGGGAGCGTGCATCGGAGAATGTGAGGGAGCATGCATTGGGGCATGCATGGGAGCATGCATGGGAGCATGCATAGGGGCATGCGCAGCAGCATTAACAGGCGCGTCTACAGGCACGTGCAATGCCGCATCCACATGCATTGCAGCACTCCCCTTCTGATTTGCCTCAACACTCGAGCTCGCGGGTCCAAGAGTTGCAACATTCACAGGCCTTTGAGCAGTAGCATCCGCAGGGAGGTGCACGGCAGCAGTGGCAGGGGCTTGTGTGGCAGCATTCACAGGGAGTTGCACTGCAGCTGTGTCAGGAGCGTGGGTTGCAGCAGCAGCGGCAGGGCCGTGAGCAGCAGCAGCAGCAGCAGCAGCAGCAGCAGGGGCAGGGGCGTGCATAGCAGCAACAGCAGCAGCAGCAGGGGCAGGGGCGTGCATAGCAGTAGCAGCAGCAGCAGCAGCAGCAGTAGGGGCAGGGGCGTGCATGAGAATGAGGCTGCCAGAGTCCCCTTCGACGTCAAAGGGCAGCCCATCCTCCCCCACGACCAGCAGGTCCGTGAAGAGCGTGTTGCCCTTGTCGTCGTTGTACTCCACTGCATACGCCATCACCGTGCCTCGCGTTAGCCCTGAGCTGCTGCCCACCTGCCAGGGGTTGCAGGGGATGGGGGAGATGGGGGAGTGGGGAAGGGCATCCTGTTGTGTTACTCCACTGCATACGCCATCCACCATGCCGCGCGTGTTGAACCCGAGCTGCTGCCCACCTGGAAGGGGTTAGAGGACGGGAGGGGGAGGGGGGATAAAATGGGAGGGAAGAGGAGGGAGACGGAGGGGAGCAGGGGGTTGGGTGGTGAAAAGAGGAGGGAAAGGTGGAGAGAGGAGGAGGGGGGACATCAAAGGGCAGAGCATCCTCCCCCACGACTAGGACGAACGGGGGAGATGGGGGGAGAGAAGAGGAAGATGGGCGGAGCCGAGTGGAAGGAGAAGGGCGACGAAGTGAGGAATGGGATTTCAGTCCTCCCTTCTAGCCTGCATGTGCCATCACGCTTCCCCAAGTGAGACCTGAGCTGCTGTCCACCTGAGAGGAGACATGGGGGAAGCGGGGAGAGAGATGGGGGGTTTATACTGCCATGCACACACACACCACCTTGCTCATAAACCCTAAACCCCTCCTCGGCTCCCACCTTGCACACGTGCTGCCCTGCCACTCTAAAATAGTCGTTTTATAATCCGACCTCGTGCAGCTTACCACACCTAACAACCCATCCAACCCCCACAACCCCCTCACACACACACCTCCTCTTCCTGGGCCCCACACACACGTGCCACCCACCTTGCACACGTGCCACCCACCTTGTACAAATGCCACCCACCTTGCACACGTGCTGCCCTGCCACGCTGAAAATCTCGTCCTGCAATCTGATCTCGTGTGGCTTGCCAATCCGCCCGATCCCCTCCAGCCACGTGGTTAACAGACCCACGTCAAACTCCTCATGGAACGGAATAAACGCCCCATCTGCCCGAACAAAAGTTTCCGGGCTCTGCCCGGCAAACACGCCGTACCAGAGGTGGTCCGAGGCAAACGACGAGGCTCGGTCCACCGAGCCTAAGTACTTCCCCGGACCTAGCGAAGACGGCAGCGGGTGGAACATTTTCTGCTTCGGCTGGTCAAAGTCAACTGCCACGTGTCTGTTAGTCAGAAACCCTAATCCACGTGGCTCAGTCAGGCTCCTAACTATGGCTCCTAGAGTCCCATACATCTCCTCACTCGCAATTTGCGAGCCGGGGCCGATCCTAGAACCACTGCCTCTTAATCTCTCCACTAACTCGTTACTAATTAGCTGCGGCTGCTGTGTCGGCCCCCCTCCTGCCCCATGCCCACCATAATAAGAGAATTCGACTATATCCACGTCACACTCGTACCCGTCTGGTCCCTGCAGCTTGCTAGGAAGCATCTGGGAAGGCAGCAGCCACTGCTCATGAACCTTCCGAGGCACAAAAACAATGATTGCAGGCAGGTCCGTGAGAATCCCGTTCCTGGTCCGCAGCCCCAAGGCTGTGCCGAGGCTGAACCGCCGAAGCTGCTCGCTGTGGCAGGCTCGGATGAGCATGAGCTGCCCGATCCTGGTGGCGGCTCGGCGCGGAGGAGCGGGAGGGTACTGGGGCGAGAGAGGGGCGGTGGAGAGCGAAAGAGCGGTCAAATGGCAGTGCGCGTCCGCGTTTAAATCAGTAGTTAAAGGCGTATTCAGGTCTGGGTTCAGGCCCGGGTTGTCATCCTGCGCCTGGGTTGCAGCGGCTGGCTGCACCTCGAAGCCTCTAAGCCTCTTTTCCGTGTTACTCGGGGGCTCTTCGCTGTCCTCTCGTCTTCTCCTTGCTCCTCGTGCTTCTCCTCCTCCCCCCCTCTCCTCCCCTCCTCCCTCTCTCCTCTCTCCCCTTCCCTCCCTCTCCTCCTCTACTCCCTGACTCCTTTCCCGTCCAGATCTCCGCTCATTGGCTGATAGCTTTGAGTCATCCCCGTCAGTTGCATCAGCACCACGTGCAGAAGAAGCACCAATGGCCGGACTTTCAACAGATAGAGGGCAAGTATCAAACTCAAGCCTCTTATTTGGGGGTAATTCCTGCTCAGCTCCTGATCCAGCTTGTCCAGCCGCCGTACGCGTTACAGCAGGCTGCGTTTGCACACCCTCCGCTACAGGAACACCCAGCGGCACAACGCTTGTTCTGATAGGGGTATATCCACCACTCATAGGACCCATCCTTCCAATCCCTCGCATTTCATTGGCTGGATCAGCTGCTGCCGGCTGCGGCGCGTCATTGGTGGCCATGGGCGTTGCTGCAGCTGCTGACGTGTACTGCGATCCGGGTGACGTGAACGGCGCTGCTGCTGACGTGTACTGTTGGAAGTAGGCTTGACGGCTAACCGGCGATTCCCGGGGGGGCTGATCTGTCGGCCATCGGACGTAGCGAGGAGTCGGGGAAGGTTCGTGCTGCCCTGCGGATTCAAATGGTTGAAGGGTCGGTCGATTGCCGGACCTAACGTAGCGGATCGGAGGCTTCCGTTGGAATCCAAAGCCGAAGCTATTTCCTCGGAGAAACCCATACCTGGTAGGTCTGGTTCCCCAAGCATTACCGAACCTGCTGGAACCCGAACCTAGATCGGAGGCAGTGCTGAGCCGACTGGAGTTTTCCAAACCCAGGCTGGTCGAGGGTTTGTGAGTGCGTGTACTACCAGTGGTGAAGCTTATAGCGGAATGTTCGTCATTTTGCGACCAAGGAGCTGCTGAATGCAATTTTCCGGCAGACTCCCGGAAAAAAAAGCCCATGTTGCTGTCTCTAATGCAGAAGCCTGTCGGAAATGATGAATTAAAGCTGGAGTATCGCGAGCTAATGCCACTGCCGCAGCTGCTGCTGCTTGCAGCGTTACTACTATTGTCCAGGGAACCACCACCACCCGCCATATTTCACACGTCGCTTCAGAGAAGTGACGTTTCAGGGTGATGGTTGATCATCTGCTGGCAAGTGTGTGGCTGATCAGCGAGCGTAAAACAACCAGAGAGACCACCATGATAGAGGATAGATAAGTTTGCGTTTTGTAAGGAAAATTCCTTTTCCTTACTTCGCATCCTGCTCAACGCGTACAGCACTGTAGCACCACAGTCAGCACCGTTACCACTCACCACCCTCGCATCGACAATCCGCCCGCCACCTTCGCACATCGCACCCCGACCTCACGGCTCGGCGGGTAACCCGCGCTCCGGGCCTCCGCTTCGACACTTTTTCCCAACCTCAGTCCCAGGCCCGTCGCGCGACAACCACAGTCCATTACCGTTACCACTGTAGTTTCGCTATATATTTTTCGCTCATGCCTTCACTCATTGTATTCTTGCTTCGATAGTGCAATTCTCGTTCGTTCACTCAATTGCACTCGTAACACCTGGTATCAGAGCCTACGATCTCCTCTCTGTTGGAAACAATCGGTCCTAAGCGCCTCTGTCGTGTCGAAACACTAAGGCACAAGCGAAGCAAAGCATATCAAGGCACCAGCGAGTCAACCCTCGGAGGTTGAAGTAACTGCTGGAGGTTACGCGAAAGTCAAAGGTCAGCGACCTTTGACCTGATGTTATGAATCAACTTGCAGAGTGCGCAGTAAAACGAATATCGAGAATGATTGAGTACTGAATCACTGAATTTTGAAACAATGAAGTAGCGAGGCCTAAATAGGGAAAAACCTAGCTAGGCGGGGGGTTCGGGATGGGATGGCTCGGTAATGGTTGGGATTGGAGCGGAGGCCGACTCGGGAGTGGTTCGGTGCGACGAAATAGGAAGGTCAGGTTCGTCGCGTGACCCTCGGGATGGCCTCGCTAACGAGTGCCTCAGTAAGGATTTGTAAATCCTTACACTCTCCCACCTTCTAAATAAGGCAGCCTTGTACTGAAACAGGCCCCACACTAGCAAGGATTCCGTAGATCTCCTCTTTAGCTGAATCCGACGGCCGAAATGCCTTTGACAATAATTTTGAAAAGGTTGGAATGTAAGCCGTTGATGAAGTCCGATTTCAATCTGACGGTCGAAGATGAAACTACCCAAAATGAAGTAGAAGTTGGAATGTGGGCCGTAGATCGAGCAGGTGTAGATCTGACGGTCGAAGACTGACGCGAAAAGAGAGGGAACCTGCTGACGCGAATTCAAACGCGATTGAGCAGGGACCGTTGATCGTGTCGGTGTGATCGCGATTGTCCGTCGTGCTGACGCAACCTGACAAACTCAGAAAGGACCAAGAAAAACGCCAAGGAAAGAACAGTGCAGCGCACTTTCTCCCCCCTTCCAAGAAAGCTGTCCACAGAATCTTCAAAACTGCGCCGAAGTAAAACCCAACAGAACCAGGTGTTAAGTCCCACTGAAAACGAGCGTTGAGCGTAGGGGACAAGGTGAAAACGTGTCGGTGTGGAAAATCGATGACGAAATCAGGTGTGACGTGCCCAAAAAGTCTTCAAGGGCTAACCCGGGTAAGTAGACCAGAAACCGTGATGAAAAAATCGCCGTTGCTCGAACTGTCTAAATTTGTCGTGATTCCACCGAGAACTTCGGTGGTACTTTCCGCAGCTGCAGCTGGCAGCACCTGACGTGGTTGAGAAATAATGCAGTTGTCGTGGGCGGGTCGAAGGCGAGTTGTCGGTAGCAGAGTTGGAATGGTTTCTCCGAGAAATTTGTCGTAATGCGCCGAGAGTTTAAGGGCAGGGATGAAATTTTACAGCTGTCGCTCCCCCCCCCGTCACTGTTGTTGCCGCCTTCTTCAGTTCGTCGTAAGTCGTTCGTACCCCTTGAAAACTCCGTGTAGCTCCCGCGGTGTTGCCCTGCGTATATGTCGCGCGCGTTTAACCAAACGCCGAATTCTCCTCCGAAATTGTCGCCGCTTCTCGCCGTTAAACCTGTAAAGTCCCGCGTAAACTTCGAAAATGTCGTTTGAACACAGCCGTGAAAATCCGCAGATGCAGGTGCAGTTCTCCTCCGAAAATCTCGGTCGTTCTATAGCCGCCCACCCGGTCACCATCAGTTTCCTTCGGTTACCCGACCCCAGCGTGTGGGTTCAATCGAGAACCGGGGACTGCCCTGGGTCTTCCGAGACCGAATTTCACGGAACCTAGTGGCATCAACGCCGTTGACCCCGTCGTCGAAACTGCTCCCGCCGATGAAGTTTAACTGAAAACCACACAAAACTCCCACTGGCGCTTTGCAGATGTTTCACCCATCGCTCGTCGCCGGCTGCTCCCACGCTCCCTCTTACTGAAGAATTTCCCGCGGTGTATGTTTAAACACCAGTGGGTTCTAGGTATCCCCGCCGCTGTGTTTCTTGCCAGGCGACTTAGAAGCGACCCTTCAGGCGAAGTCCCCCAACGGCTCAACCGCACTCCAAGAAGCGAAGAAACACCCTCAGCTTCAACTCTTTTTTTTTGTAGAAATATAACCCCGAAAATCGTGGTTGAGGCTGCAGTCCCGAAGTTATTCTCCGCCGTATAGCCCCGACGTTTCCGCCGTTTTTTCCCTGGTACTCCGATGTTCACCCATCTTCATACCCGTCGGAACCACTTAGCGAATCCCAGGTATCATTGGCAATGTACCGCTCGCCGCGCCTCCATGTCACAATATCAAACCCTTTCGGGGGTCTACCGAATAGACTCCGAAATTCGCGGTGGATTGGTGCACGGGCTCAACCTCTCACTCAAGTGATCTGCTGGATCACCCACAACTTTCCCTCCGTCGTCATTTTTTTCGTATTCACCCCCCGACAATTCCGCTTCCCGCCGTTCACCCAGCGTCCGCTTTCGTCGGATGAGGTATCGTCGTTGTTGCCCGCGCGAACACGGCCCCGGTGGAGAGGCAAAAACTATCGGAGTCGGGGGACCTTAGTTAAAAGGAAACTATCGCCCAACCGTTTTGCAGCCCGCCGTGCCTATCACGCCACTAAAATTTCACAGCTTCCCGGTCTCAGCTTCGCCGTTGCGCCGTCACCTCGTGTGTAGACGTCTGGGTCAGGAGAAACCTGTAAACTGCACCGATGTTATCCTCGCAGCTCCCCGACTTTTTCGCGTGCCGTTCACCCAGCCCGTTTTTGTCGGAGTAGAACAGTGCCGCGAACTCCATTTTTATGTATTTTCTGTACAGCTGTCGAACGAGCACCAATCCAGGTGCCTTTAACCAGCACAGGGTAGGCACGTGTTCACCCCCGTTATTCGGCCAAGTAAGTTGACTGTATGAGTCAGAACTAAGACTTGGTGGGGATGGTGAGGTTCGGGCGAAGTAGGCCGCAGATCGGTTCCACTGGCTTTTAATCTGCTCCCCACGACGTTCTTCAACCCCCGCTTAGCCGTTGGACCGTTTCTGCCCGTGTGTCCTGGCAGCCTGTACCGACCCCTCCGAAATTGTCGGGCGGTACCTTGGACACCGTTTAATCGTGGGATGTCAGCAGCTGTCCCCGAAAACAACGTCCCTGGTCAGGAGAAACTGTTCTCGATACTCCCGGCCAGCTTGCAACAACACCAGGTACGCAGTGTCGCCGAGTTGATTCGAGGTGTACCTGCCCAGATTTCCCTCGTCGCCTGCGTCCCACTTCCTCGTAAGTGCGATTTAGCCACCGCGTTTTCCGTTGCAGCCCGTAAGTGTCAGCAGGTATGAAGCCCCGTCTGTCCACGAGCACTCCTGCCGAAATTTGCTGATGACGCGCCCGCCAATGCAGTAAAAGCCGCCGCACTTAACAGGTCGGGCGGGACGGCTGTTGACTCCCGCTAAGTCGGGCAGTCTTGTGTCGTCTCTCCTCGCCACCGACATTTTCGGACGCAAACTCCTTTTGCGCCTGGCGAGTTCCCCAGCCGACATTTCTTCACAGTAGCTCCGAAAATATCGCCACAGTGACGCACGTCCGTTGTCGCCAGCTGCCGAGCCACACTCTGTGAGTCACGCGCGCAAAATGACGACGAGCCACCGTTGTCACTTGCCGCATGGGACGACTCCGAAGTTGTCGCGCAACTGTTGACTCAGGTCCAACGTCGTCAACGGCCACTCATCATGACGACTTCCGAAAATTTCGTGCAGGTGCCGACGCAGGTCCGCTGACGCCAACTGCCTCACAAAATTCCGAAACCGTCGTTAAAACCGCAGCGGAATAGTAACTCACTTTTAATGTCGCGAAAGCTACAGCTGTCCGTTGCCCGGGGGGAGGGAGGCCACGGTCGATCGCGACCGTTCGAGGCAAGGATCTGGCGGTGCCGAAGGAGTACCCGTAAAACTATGGCCGCGAGGAGCAACTAACGCGTTCTCCTGGCCGGCC